TGTGACCTCCTGACAAACCGAGTCGACACGAGGAAGCTGGATTCACTTAACAACCACGTGACTAACTTAACAACGGCTTAAGTTTGCTTAAGCCGTAAAATTGGGCAAAACTCGCTTAAGACACGTCTCATTTAGCAACACAAAGGTTTGGGGCTCAGCTGGGCTCATACGTTGAGGATTACCCATGTAGGCGGCATTCTTCTCCGTTAAATTAGGGAAGCCCTGAATTCAAATTTAATTTGAGGGGGCCGCTGGAACCCCGACAGCTTCAGTATCCTCGCCTCGCCTCACATTCGCTGACAGTTTTTTCCCAGCAGCTGATCAAACTTTTACAGTAGCTGAGCTGAGTTTTCTGAAGAAAGCAAGGCCAGTTTTTTTTTTAAAAAACTCTCCTTGTTTTATGAAGTTTCTCAGTCCTAGAGTGAGTTAGATGGGGAAGTCAGTGCTGACTGCTAATCTGGTATGTGTGTGTGTGTGTGTGTGTGTGTGTGTGTGTCTGTCATCTTCCCCCCCCCCAAATCTGTGAAAAATGCCAATCAGATAGAAGGGAGGAAGTTTCGTATGAGCAGTCCCCAACTTGTCAATCGCGCAGGTGGTCCTCTTTTACGACTGATAGGACTTGCCGCTGTTTAAGGGGCACAGGACAATGGTGGCGATGTAAAACGGGGCAACACTCACTTAACAAACAGTCATTGTGAACGTGAGACCAGGATTACCCCCGCCAGTACATTTGGCAAAAGAGAGGATGGGATGGCAGAGTAACAGGTCCTTGCTTCTCCAAGTCAAGAGACCGCCCTCCCAAATGGCTCGGCTTCCACGTCGCACAACAAGCCAGGCGTGTAGGCAACCTGCCCTTGGAAAATAAATCCAAATGAAACTTTTATGGGCTCCCCCCCCTTTCCACAAGCCGAGTCTTTTCCCCCACCGCTGCGCTGAGGTTTGCATAGCACCTCCCGAAACAGCTGGAGGCCAAGGAGCGCCCCAGCCCAAAAAAAGTCTCCCAGCTTAGCACCTACCTACCTCTGGGTGCCTAACGCTGCAATCTGGTATGTGTACAAACACATACGTTCACACATTATCTACCACATTCACCCCAGGGGCTAGGGCGGGGCTCAGACATTCCAGCAATAATAATAATAATAAGAAGAATAATACTATTAACAATAAGGCTGCCAATCTCTACCAAAGGATTTTCTTTTTTCTCCATCTACCTGCTGGATTCATCTGGGCAAAGGGCATCCCTGGAGTGGGAGTGGGGTAGGGGGAGAGAGACGAGAGATCCCACCCACCCCAAATCCTGGCCCATGGGCCAAACAATGCTGGGACCCTTCCCGAAAATAGATGCTTTTTCTTCCAAGGAGGGGTGGGAGACGCTCAAAGGAGCAGGGGTCTTTGTTAAAGGGGCTTCTTGTAATTTTTTTTGGGGGGGGGGGTCCTTTAGCTCGCTGACAGCCAGGGGGGAAACCTGTGCCCACCGTCCGCGAGGGAGATGGAGAAGGGCTGCCAAGCAGTTGGAGACAATCCCCCAACCCAGCCTCCATGGCGCAATGATGGTGATGCACATCTCCCCCCCCCCCCCCCGCCTGCCAATTCCACCATCTCTGGTCAAAGAAGAAATATTAACCCTTCACTTCACAGAACGCCGCACACTTCCCGAATAAAATGTCCTCTCCAGAAGAGGGGAGGAGACCCTTTGCGCCGCCTCTGCTTTTTTCCAAGACACGGCAAGCTTTTGGGAACCCCTGGGGATCCCTCCGAGGGGGGGGCAAATGTGCCCAGGGCAAGGAAGCACACACACACACACACAAATTTCCCCTTCCTCCATTTTTTTTCCTTCCCAGAGCAATCCAATCCACATTGAAGGCAAGCAAACAGCTTCTTCGTCTTGCCACCCACGGCAGGCGGCTTCTTGGGGACGAGTGGGTTGAGAAATCCCGGTGGGCTGGGTGCAAAAGAGGCGCCGAGGGGTGCCAAGACTTTCCTCCCCCCCCCCTCTCTCTTTCCCCACAGAGGAAATGCCAAAATCAACAAGAGCAGATTCCGGAGGAAAGACGATCCGGAGGAGAGGATTTAGAAAAGAAAAAAAAAGCTTTCGACCGAGAGTCTACTCTTTTAAACTCAAAATATTCCGTTTTCCGTGGGTCTCAGGCTGGCAGATCCCAAAACTTTGGGGAGAGATGCCCCACAGCCCCTTGGAGTGTCCAGGGAAGAGAAGCTGGCTTAGAAAGGCAAAGAGAGCCATTCACCCCTTTCTTCCCTGCATTATTTGCCCCCCCCCCAAATAAGAGAGGTCAGGGATAAATTCAACGTCTTCTGCCAAGATGCTGGGCATCCCTGAGACAGCTGTGTCTCTCCCCACCTGCTCCTCTCTAGGCTCCGATTCACTTCTGGGGGGGACCTCACTGAACCCCCACATCTCTTCTGATTTTGGCGTGCCTGTTCCATCTGTCAAGGCAGCCTCTCTGCTCCCGGGCTGGCATTGGGACCCCTTCAAGGAGGGGCTTTCTGCTCTGCAAGGCCTAGTTTTCTTCTCCATCCCCCCCCAACTTTTCATGACTTTGATCTGAGAGACATCCCCCCCCAAAAAGACTACAATCTGCTCCTTTTCAACTCCACAAAATTGGGGTCTCCTTGGCATTCATGACTTCTTTCCAAACAGGCCCCCATCTGGGGAAAAAAAATCACAGCAACCCCCCCCCACACACAATTCCAAAGAGCAAGAAGAAAAAAGCATATCCAGCCTTGTTCTGATAACTCTCCCCAATGGTGAATGACCCCCACCCAATATTTGCTTGCACACCAATGCAACTGGCAATTGGGGGGGGCTGTTAAATCTTTTACAGGGGGTCCTGCTGCCAAAGGCTGAGCCCCCCTAAATTCCCCTGCCCCACAATTTAGAGGCCCACAAGGATGCCGCCTCCATACTGGGCAAGGCGCCCAGAAAAAGCCACCCCCACCCCCAAACCTTTTGATTTAAGAGATGTAAACCCCGACTTGCTTTCCTAATCTCTGGCGCCCTCCGAGGCTTCGTAGGCACCCCCAAACTCAAACCAGGGGTCTCCCCCCAAAGCCCCCAACCCAGGTTTCATCTGTCCGGCGTCCCCCCACAGCGACACGTCCCCCACCGCCCCCCACCCAATCCAAAGACTTTGCAAGGCACCCCAGCAAAAAATGCATGAATGAACCAGCCCAGGAATGAATTAATGGACACCCTGATGCATCTCTTCCGTCACCCCTAAAAACAAGACCCCAGACCCTCCTGCCTGACACGCAGACGTCCCCCACCTGAAATCCAGAGTCTGCCCTTTTTTCCCTAGACACCCCCCACCCCAGATCTAGGCAGTTCAACAGCCCCCCACCCATTTTGCAACAAAGATCCCCCCCAACCAAAAGCAAAAAGAGGGGGAAGACCCCCCACTCAGGCCGGCGCCCCCCCACCCGCCCCCAAAGCCAGGTGGGGCTTTCCTAAAAGTGGGGAGGGGGCGGGGGCCCCAGAGACAAGCGTGGGGAAGGGGGGGCAAAGCTGTCGAATGGCCATAGGAAAACCCCATGCAAGTCTCTATGGGGGGGCTGCTTCCCACCACCCAAGGGGGGCAGCCCCCCAAGGCAGAGGGGTCTCCCCTGGGGGGGCAGGATGGAAATGCACCCCTAATTTAGCCCCCCATGCCTTGATCGAGCCCCCCTGCAGGGTCTGGAGACCCCCCCCGCTGCCCGTGGCTGGAGGCCAGCGGGGATCCCCATAGGCCGCGGAGCTGTCAATCAAACGCCGCCCCGCCCCCTCGGCTTCCACTCACCTGGCGGCGTCCGCAGCTCCCTCAGGCCGATCGGGAGGGCGGCGGCAGCAGCGGCGGCGGCGGCGGCGGCGGGAGGGCGCAGGGGGCCGGGCGGCGGACAGCAGACGCGGCGCCACCAGCAGCGACACCGACACCTCCGCCGCCGCCGCCGGAGCCGGCACCCACCACAAACAATGCGTTTGATTGGGCGGCGGGGCCCGCCGGGCGCGCCCCGCCCTCCGGGCCGCCAGCGACGACGGCCGTTGGGCGCCGCGTGGGAGCGACGGGCCGGACGGCCAATGGCGCGGCGAGGCAGGCGCGCGGGGGGCCGGCAGAGGGTGCCCATTGGCTCAGGCCAGCGGGTGACTGGCGTCGGGCGAGGCCAACGAGCGGCGACGGATCTGAGCGCCCTCTTTTTTTTTTTTTTTTTAGTAAGCCGCCACATCCGGGTACCCGGCCTCATGGAAGATGTGTCGGCGGGAGGGAGGGAAGAAGTCTGTAGGCGCCCCGGGGCGTTTTTTTTTTCCTGGTCCTCATCGGCCACCGTAGGCCGCATTGCTTTGCTTCAGTGGGGGGGGGGGGAAATATAATCCCTGTTAATTAAAATGTGCAATAATTACGGCCCCGAAATCCATCATGGTTATGTTGCCTCCTAACCTTGGCAAGTCTTAAGCTCCCTTTGCACAGCTCAGGTTGTCCACCGGCAGACCATGGCTTGCTTAAAGCAAGAGTCAAACATGGCTTGCGTCTGTGACCCCTGGAGCCATCCCAGGAGAAACCTCGACTTGATCAATCATGGTTAATGGAATCAACCGCCTTGGGTTGGGATTGCAAAAGCCTGTAAACCTCCCACTGCTTTGCCATGGTTTGGCAAAATGGCCAAAGAAACTGACCAACCGTCCTTTTTTAGGGAGGGAAGTCCTTTTGTAATTTAAATAATAATAGGCATGTAAGCATAATTACAATATAAAATGTTATTGTTACAAATGTTTTTTATTATGCATGTATCATAGTGTATGCTCTATTGTTGCAATGAGTAAAATGTTTTATTTACGATATTTTTTTCTGCAATTTATTTGTGTCCTCCTTCTCATTGTAAAAAAATTGGTCACCCTAGCCATTGATGGCTTTCTTTCCCTGCACTTACAATTATTCATTTAGTGAATTATTTGTTTTTGTCCTCAGAGGCTCTCTTTCCATCACGGAACGGGAGACAAACACCGGAAGGAAAATACACAGGCATCTTTTATTTACAGGAGAGGAACATTGGAAAAAAACAAAACACAACTCAAACAGTTAACACAAACACCACAATGAGGGGCTGGGGGGAGGGTCCATATTGCTCTGACTGAGCCCTGAGGTGGGGAGAGGGAAATCCTCGCTGTGGGGGGGGGGTGTCCCAGGACCCTTTCTCCGAACAGAAATACGACACACCCCATTTTCCACAATGGGGGGCCCTTAAACAGTTAAAGCATGTGCCACAAACGGGAGGGGGGGAGAACAGGGAAAACAGCGGGAGGGGCTCTGTAATAAATAAATTTACAAAATAGCTTCTTTTCAGTTTGTTTCCCTCCCCCCCCCATAACACTGATGGGTAAAAATAATACTAAAAACAAAACACAAAGCAAGCCCACCTCGGACAGAAGGGGCAACTGCCCCCTCCCCAATGAACCCCCCTCAATGAACTGGGAGGGGTGGGGGGGAAGGGAGAGAGTAGGGGGAACGACCAGAGAGCCTTGTCCTTCATTGGGTGGGTGGGGCTTAACTATGCCCACCACCCACCCACCCAGTTCTGCAACAGACACTGTGCACGAAAATTGACATTTACAGGGGTGAAGATCCAAATTTGAGGGGGGGGGGAGGAAGAAAGAGAATTGGTGCAGGGGTGTGTGTATGGGGGAGTCTGAGCTTCTAGGCATGTGCAAAGTGCAGTGCTGGCCCGAGAATGCCCCCTCCTGTCTATTTCACTTTTTTCAGAGGAAGAAGGCAACTCAGCTCCAAGGGCCAAGAGGAAGGGTCTCCTGCCCCCCCCGATCCCCCCCAAAAGGGCCAAGGGGTGCTGGAAACAGCCTAGGGAGCTTGGCTGTGCCCCCCTCCCAGCCTCCCCCTCCCCAAATTTGGTATCAGCTCCAGTTTCATCCTCGGTTCCTTTGTCCCAAGCAGCAGCCACAGCAGTAGCAGCAGGAGGAGAGGCAGAGACGAATGGGTTGGGGGGCAGCCCCCCCACAGCAGCCCCCTCTGCTAGCACTCCAGGTTGGCCCCAAAACTCTTCCGGCAATCGATGGCCTTGGTGGTGAGAGGCTGGGCCCTCTGCTGCTTGAGGGGCTCCTTCCCCATGCTGCTGGCCAGCTTCGAAAAGGCCGACTTGTACTTCTTGTCAAATTCAGCTGCGGGGAGAGAAAAAGTGATGTGTGTGTGTTTCAGAGAGATCACGGCTTGCGCAGGCAGACCTCGACTTACAACCGTTCGTTGAGCGACCGTTCAAAGTTACAAAGTGCTAGTCCTCATGGCAAGAGATCCTAATGGCGTTATTTTTTCCACCCTTTTTTATAATACAAACCGGGCACAGGCAAGGTTCTAGTCCTCATGGTGGGAGATCTTGGTAGCATCCTCCCGCCCCCCCTTTTATAAAGCACACCAGGCAGAGGCAAGGTTCTAGTCCTCCAGGTGGAAAATCCTGATGCTGATTGTTCCACCACCAACCCTCTTTTATAAAACACACTGGGTGCAGGCAAAGGTCTAATGCTCAGGGGGAGAGATTCCAGTGGCTTTTTCCCCCCTTCTCATTTATAAAACACATTGGGCTCAGGCAAGGTGCTAGTCCTCAAGGAGGCAGCCTGACCCAAAGCCCCAAAGGGACGAATCCCAAAATACTACAGTGAGGCCATCCTTCTCCTCCCAGCCCTCCAACGCGTAGGGCCTCCTTCTCCCTCCAGCTTCCTACCGATGTCCACTCGCTCTCTGCCCAGCGCGGCTATTTTCAGAAAGAGAAATTCACGGTAAATGCTCCTGAAACAGAGATAAAAATGGAACCATTGTCAATATCTGCAGAGGATGCTCCTTAGAAAGTCACTTTATTTTTTTCATTTAACAAAACCAAGCCTTTTTCGGGGGTAACGGGCTAAACCGAGACATCGGAGAAGAAAGCCTACCTCTGTAAGAGTCCAGGGTTGGCACAACCTGCCACTTTTTCTATGAAGAGGACGATGGCTTTGTGGACCTCGCCCAGGCCAAGATAGTTAATGACGGCTTCCAGGAAGGAGAGCGAGAATGGGTGGTTATGCTTGCGCCAATTCTGCAACCGTGTGGGAATCTGGCCTGGGAAAGGAAGAAGACTGGCCTAAGAAGCCAGAATGCCACCTCCGTTCACACGTGGCTACCTGAGGACCGGATGGCACCGATGCCCATCTTGTCTAGTACGGCTAGTCAAACCCGTTGGGCTCTCCATGGACCAGTTATGCCAGGACGTTTTGCATCCCAGGAGGATCCACAGAGTCGACCGGAGAAGAGTCAAATAAAACCGAGAGCCGAGGTGGCGCAGCAGTTAGAGTGCAGTACTGCAGGCCACTTTAGCTGACTGTGTTCAGCAGGTCAGCGGTTCAAATCTCACCGGCTCAAGGTTGACTCAGCCTTCCATCCTTCCGAGGTAGGTAAAATGAGGACCCAGATTGTTGGGGGCAATGTAAATATATATATATATATATATATATATATATATATATATATATATATATATATATATATATACATACATTGCTTACTGGTGTACACCGCTTAGAGAGTGCTTGCACTTAAAAGCGGTATATAAGTCTCATAAATAAATAAATAAATAATAAAACCATCCCCATTGAAAAGGACGGTGTTATCAAGGTTCAAGGGAACGACGGACTGTACTCAGACGCACCATGCAGCCTCCATAGAACGTAGAGAGGGGGAAAGCTGTCGGGATCGGAACTCAGCACGTCCCAGAGCAAGCGTACGTTGACGAAAGGGCCCTCCGGAGTCGGCACCTGGAAGAGAAAGGGAAGCAGAACAGTTTCTCAACGTTGTGAACTTTAAGGCAGGTAGACTTCAACTCCCAGAATTCCCCAGCCAGCTGGCTGAGGAATTCTGGGAGTTGAAGTCCACCTGCCTTAAACGGTGAAAAACACTGAAAATTTCTGGATTCTGATTTGAATTTTTCCTCAGGTGCTGGTTCTGTTTTCAGGAGAAATGTGTGGGAAAGGATCCCCTCGAGGTCATACAGTCCAGCTCCCGGCCTCCTGCAGGAACACCATTCTGAAGAGTTGGCTTCTCTTCAAAACCTCCCGAGATGGACCTCTGTCCCAACACTCTTGAGATCCCTCAACCTCGCCTCCCTTGCAGGGTCGTTGCGTAAGAGAGATGGGTTACCTGGGAGGCCATTTGGACGTGCTTGGAAGCCAGAAGCAACTGAGGCAGGCCGCTGCAGAGGCCCAGCCGCTGGAAATACCACACCAGGTTCCAGTAGATGATGGGATGGTTGTCCACCAGCTCTGGCTGAGATAAGAACACAGCTCCTTCGTTCTCTAGGAGGGTCTCCAGCTCCTTACGCAGAACCAGGGGGCTGAGGTAGGCGAACGCCAGCTGTTCCACGTGGATGGCAGGCCCCTGAGGCCCCTGGGAGAAAAAGGAGGGGCCATAATTCCCCATCAGCCCCAGCCAATCCCCAGGAACATGGGAGTTGTAGTCTCAGACTCCGTGAAGAGAGATTCAGTTGCTCTTTCTCAAAATCCTCATTTAATGACGTTACTCGGGGCCAGAAACTCCCACTGTTAAGCCACGTGGTCATAAAGCCATAAAACCCATCCCAAATCTGTTGTTTCCGGACGGGGAGAAACGTCTGTACCGGGGGTTCGCTGAAGCCGTTGCATAGGGACCCGTTCCTGGATTTCCGCCGGGGATCTGTCTCTGCCTCGTCCAGCAGGAGGCACTGGGACCGATCGCTGAGCACCGGGCCTTGGCTCCCTGGCAAGGGGGCTTCGTTGTCCCGGGGCCAGTCGGAGGACACTGAACTTGTGTCAGAAGCATCAGCGTTGCTGAAAGGGAATGAAGAGCTTTGAACACAGTGCAGATGGCTCAAGCAAGCGAGCCAAGTTACAGGAAGGGTCAAAAACCACCACCCCTGCATGTAAGTCTTCCTTCTCATGATACATTTAACTTGGTTAATGTATTAACCCATCTTTTGGGTTCACATTTGTATGATCTTAACCACACACACACCCAACAATCCACCACAACCCTAGTCAAGACAATAAGGTCAAGGGTGGCCCATTGGCACTCGGGCAGTGTGGAAACAGGTGTAAGATCAAGATGTCAGAGGTAGGAACAATAAGCATAATTAGCACTCGGACCTGAGAGAAACCATCTGGAAATCTTGAATCTCGATGCTGAGGAAGGGCACAAAGAGACGTCCGCAAAAGGGGCAGGTGGTGTTCAGGTTGGAGTCGTCCGAACTCCACCCGGCCATCACCTCTTCGTCGTACACCAGCAAATTGCAAGCTTGGCATCGCGAACAACTGGAAAGAAGCACCTGAAAGGACGAGAGAATCGTTCGGTGCGGGAAAACGGTGGGAACGAGACAAGAACTCCCGGGAAAGGACACAGCAGATCACGCGGAAAGATACCTCAACTGCCGGAGGCTCCGACAACCGATCACTGGATTTCCGGAGGTTGAAACTGCAGACGGACGTATCCGAGAGATCGTACTCGCTACCCAGAGAGGCCGAACTCTGTGGTAGGAAAGAGCAGGTTACGTCGAGAAAAAGGACCTGCGAGAAAAGATCGGGAGGACTCATTCCGCACGCGATCCCATACGGGATACCGACCTCTGAGGCTGTGGATCTTGGACGTTCCGGGGGGAGCAGTAAGTGACCCTCCAGCAGACTCTGGCGAGAGGAGTATTCTCGCTGCTCGGATCCGCCGCGCCCGTGTGAGAGCTCCCCGCTGGAACCGTGCTTCAGAGACGGTCGCTTAATGGGGGACAGAAACTGCTGAAGTTTAGCAGTCAGACTCCGGCGAGGGGTACTCCCCAGGCGACGGTTTTCAGTAGCCTGGCCTGACCCTGGAGTAGCTCCCTCTGGTTGTCCGGTCTCCACGCTGCTCAGTGTTAACCTGTCGCTCTCGTCCGTCAAGAAACTGCTGATGTCGGAAAGACTGCTGCCCTCCGAACTTCCGGGCCCGTCCCGTGCACCGCGCAGCCAGGGAGGAAGTGTTGACAGCATATTATTGCTTTCAGCTCTGGGACTACCCAGCGTTTTCCTGGCTGCAAGTAAGATTTTAAAATGTTAAAATTTAAAGATGATTCCCCCCCCCCCGTTGGATAATGAAGACCCGTCCTCTGGAATTGCGACTCACCTGGGATTATGCCCGCCGGCGTTTCCTGTTTGGGAAAAGTCAGGCTGCCGCTCTTTGCGAGGGAAGCAGGTTGTGGATTCTCTCGTAAGCTGCTCCCGGACCAGGTGGTCTGCCGCTGCAAGCCGGTGCGGGGTTGATATTTGGGGAATTTGGCTTCTTTGCTGTCTGCCAGTAAAAAACAAGAGAAGCCCACCCTCGCTTTGAGAGATGCATCGTGTTTATCTGAGCTACTGTTATCATAATTAGATAAGAGGCAGCACAGCCCTCAGCTGCATAATGGTGGAGAAAGAGCATCGGAAGGGATCCTCCCAGTTTTTCAGGCCAGGAGTTGTAGTCCACCCCTCTTAAAGCCTGCTGGCTGGAGAATTCTGGGAATTGTAGTCCACCCTCTTAAAGCCACCTGACTGGAGAGATTGTTGGATGGAGGATAAGTTGAGCCTCGCGTGTTTTCAGAGCTGTACCTGTTGGAAGGCCGAAACTCTGCAACTCTACCTCCTGCTGCTGGTGTTGACGTTGGCGCAGAGGCTGTCGGAACTGGGCGGCCCCCAGGACAACGTTGCGGAGCTTGGCCCAGCGAAGACGGCCACCATGGCTACTGGACGGCCACTTGCACTCCAAAATGGCCTACGGCGAAAACCATGCTAAACCCAGGAGAAGGTGACTTGAACGGAGAAATGAGGAGGTTGTGGGGTGGAAATACCTTGTTGTAATAGCCGTAGGTAATGGTGTTGGGGACGATCCCGGCCCGTTTCATTTCCAGCATGACTTGGACGGAGAGTATTGGTTGCCCGTACTGGCCGCAGAGCTGCATCAGGATACGGTAACACACCTTTGAACAAGAAAGGGAAGGGGATATGGATGCTCGTTTCCCGCCGCTTAAGGGAAGCCGAGAGTGAATTCCTAACTAAGGAACTATTTTTTATTCCATTCCATTCCATTCTTCATTCCGTTTCTATTCTATTCTATTCTATTCTATTCTATTCTATTCTATTCTATTCTATTCTATTCTATTCTATTCTATTCTATTCTATTCCCTATTCCTATTCTATTCCCTATTCCTATTCTATTCCCTATTCCTATTCTATCCCATCCTATCCTATCCCATCAATTCTAATTCTAATTCTAGTTCTAATTCTAATCACAACATCGGTTTCAGTTGGAACCGTTCCGTGGAAGAACGAGCTCTCACCTCGTCCGGCAGGACCACCTCTTTGGTCTCCATCTGTTTCAGCACTTCGTATGCGACATGCAGTGCTTGTACCTTCGGCGCCACCATTCGGACGTAGGCAGGCAGCGTGATAAACCACAAAGCATAGCAGTGACCCAGCAGGCACTTAGCCCACATATCCGGCACAGAGGAATATTTCTGCGCGACTTTCTGGGCCACTTTAATTTCCTAAAAAATGGAAAGTTTAATTTCAAGGGTTTTTTTGTAAGAAAAATCAAGAAAAATCAACCTTGGCTGGGACTGGGGGAACTCGGGACTGATTCGTATGTGGACCGGAGACCACCAAGAAATCCCAAAGCAGAGGGCTGGATTGCAAAATTAAAAAAGGCCTGGCATTTTTTACCTGCTGGGTCCGGCGAGGGGCAGGGCTGCTGGGGGCGCTGGTGCGGGCTTGGCACAGCGGGGGCATGAGCTGGTCCTGAGGCCGCTGAAACAGCTTGGTCTGGAGCATGGGGAAGCCGTCATATCTAAATAAATAAAGCCAGCATGGGGGAACTATGACCCCCTTCATGACTTGTGGACTTCAACTCCCAGAATTCCTGAGCCAGCACGGCTGAGCTTGGAAACCTCTCCCTTTCCTCTCAGCATGGCTGGCTCAGAAATTCTGGGAGTTGAAGTCCACGAGTCATAAAAGAGCCAAGGTTGCCTACCCCTGGCCTAGATCTTCTTTCTTTTTTCATTGCTATTGTTAACTTCGGTCACTAAACGAACTGTCGTAAATTGAGGACTTACTATATCTTCCCGGCTGAAGGCGACCAGACTGGGACACTCACTTGTAACTCGGCAGAAGCTCCAAGCCGTTGGGCCCGGTGGGCTCTTCCGGGGGCATAATAAACACGGTGTGTTCGCTGCCCTGGACGTCGTCCAATTCAATTAGCGGAGTCTCCTCTGCTTTCTCTAAATCCACCTGCACCTGAGTTTAAATTTTTTTTTAAAAAAGGAGAAAAGTTGAAAATGAAGCAACCGTCCCATGAAGGGAACCATCTCAAGATCTTGGCCAGCTCATTTAGGATGGAGAAGTGGGCCTTGCAGGTAGAAAGTCTGCTCTGGGCATTGAAAAAAAAAACCCTTCCAAGCTAGCAGCTCTACGGGAGGGTCCTTCAAAGCAGGAAAGCCTGGAAAATTGGATTTCTAGAGGTATTCAAAAACAGTTCGTTTAGTGACTGTTCAAAGTTACACCGGCACAACGGCCGTTGTAACTTTGAACTTGTCCCTTTTTCCACGCTTACGTTCAGTTGCCAAGCTCCTGTTCGAAATCCAGGAGCTTGGCAACTGAACCCGTATTTATGACGGTCGTAAGGTCCTGGGAATTCACGCCATCCCCTTTAGCGACCTCAACGGGAAATCCAGATTCACTTAACAACCGTGTTACTACTTTAACACTGGCAGGGAGTCCCTGAACAGCTGCGACGAGGAAGGTCGTACAATGGGGCAAACCCCACTTAACCAATGTCTCGCTTAGTGACAGAAATGTGGGACGCCACTGTGGTCTACCCATAGTTGCTTTTTCTTTCTGTCTATAGAAACGGAGTGGTTATTTACTAGCCCTTGCAACCAAGGTGTAAGTTTTAAGGACGGCGAGGGAATAATTTTGGGGTGGAGTGTCCCCTCCGTCCCTTTTACTCCAGGGTGCATCCAAAATCAAACCCCACGGAGAGTCATTAATTAAAATAAAACCCAATTCAGATCCCCTTCCAGCTACCTTGTCGACACAAGAATCGAAAAACTCCAAGCAAGCGTGGCGGTCACTGACGAAAGAGCATTCCTCTATAAACTGCGTGAAGAGCTGCGTGCGCAAAAGCTGCCCGTAGAATTTTTGGTAGGCTCGCTCGCGGGACTTCAGGAAGCCTGTATGGGATGGAGCAAGCGAGAGAGGATTAGCGTTCACGACCGTTTTTGTAATTGTTCTCACAGGTTCCCACGGAGCGACGGCAGTAAAAGAAAGGGAGCGGGGAGGGAGGAGGAAAACACGCGCAGCAATTCCTTCCCAGGCCAAGGTGGAACGGATCCCTAAATTGAGAGTTCTTCTTCTCTGTATCCTTTTCCTGGCTCCCTGCCTTGTTTTGCGTCTCCGTTCCTAGAGCCGCCATTTTTAAAGAGGATTTATTTTTAAATCCTTCGTCCCCGAGGAAGAGGCTTTCTCTAAAACGTGTAAATCATCACCCCAGCGGAAATGAATCTACACCTTGCAGGAAAAACAGACTGCTGGAGTCCCGGGTTTTCTCCGAAGGGGCCTGGGTGATGGGTCGGAGGTAGCTACGATAGCCTTTCAGAAGACAAGCCATGAATCGTAGAAACGCCCCTCGGATGTCCAGTTCCAGCTGTTTCCGGCGCCCGTAAATGACGTCGTAGTCGGTCAGCAGGAACTCCAAGGAGGCCTCCTCCACAGGACGGTTGTACACTGCGGAGGAAGGACCGAACCATCAGCTACAAATGGCCACACCAAAACCAGCATTCGCCAAAGTTATGCCGTTCAATTCCAAAAGTGGGCAGGTTTTAATTCTGGTTTAATATTTTGCAGGGGGGGGGGCTGCATCAAAGGGAGTCAAGTTGGGGCTCGGAGAACCTCTGGTAGGTACTACAAGGTGGAATGTAGTAGGGGGGTTGGACTAGATGACCTCCAAGGCCCCTTCCAACTTTTATTATTATTATACATAAATCTACCGAACTACGGATCATGGATCTCAACATTTGGAGCATTCCTCAAACACCGCAAAATGTCATCGTTATGTTGCAGTTGAGTGTCCCCTTCTACTGCTTTTCTCTTATCGGGGGTCCGTGCCCACCTGCCCTCTGAGACTTTATGACACTCGCGCCAAGACCATGGTGACTTACTCTCATCCAGTTGTTGGTAGTGCGAGTTTAACGACGCCAGCAGCACTTTACACAGCTTCCGGGGTAGAGAGCGTGATGACAACAGTTTCCGCTCTTCGCACCTGCGCACACAACAAAGCTGCCCCTACGATTAGTGCCTCCTGTTGGGGGGCCCAGGAATGCTAGTATCACCCCTCCCTACCCCCTGCTTGCTTATCCGGGGACTCCTCCCTGCCCCGCTGGTTAGGGATTCAAATGGAGACACATCAAGGAAAGCTGAGCAATTCTGAAAAAAAAAATTGCACGCCCCGAGATGGAAGGAAGGGTGAGAAAGAAACTCAATGCAGCCTCATCTTCCTTAGTATAAAATTAGAACAGAAATAGAACAGAACAGGCTTTCAAAAGTCTGCTGTTCTAGTCCTTGATGACTGAGCCCCAATTTTCTGTTGTTGAGTCAGATATTTAAGTGAGTTTTGCCCCATTTTACGACCCGTTAAATGAATAAGTTAGCGCCACAGCTGTTAAATCAATCTGGCTTCCCCAGTCAGCATGTCTCATTTAACAACCTGGAGTCTGTTCACCCCTCAAGGTGGCAGGATGAGGACACTCACTGGAAGATGGTATTGGTGTCCAGGTCCACGCAGATGACGTCGCGCGGGAGGTCGTAGATGTCGAAGTAACTGGAGTGGACCCCCACGATGAAGGGAACGGGGGCACACAGCACATCGGCCAGGGTGAGCGGGCAGAGAGGGATGTACGGGCACTGCCAGCGCAGAGGAAAAATCATCTGGAGGGACAAACACAACTGGTTTGGGTGTGGATGTTTGTGTTGAAGCTCCATTACAAACACCCACACCTTCACAACTTGGAGTTGACCGAATAGTTTTTTAAAAAAGGGAGCACGAGAATATAATAAGAACAACCTATGTGTGTAAGTATATAACATTTCACGCCTGGCGTGTCCAACCTGGGCAACTTTTAAGACCTGTGGACATCAACTCACGAGGAGCAGCTGTAGATCAACAAAACCCTGGGTATGAATTCTGGAGTGGTTTTTATTCGATAAAGAATAAAGATACCATCTGAAATGGCATAGCATGAAAGGAAATAGACAGAGGGAAGGAAGAGGGAAAAAAAATAATTCCCAAGCGTAATTCTTAACCCGAATTCAAGGGGTAACACAAGGAAACTGGAAAAGGGAGATCAAAATGCTTCTGTATTTACGCAATTTGCTGGCTGGGAACTTTGGGAGTTGAAGTCCACAGGTCTTGAAGTTACCCAGATTGGACATCCTTGTTTTACACACAATTCACCGCAATCGTCCGCCCATAATTTATGCCGATAATCAATGCATCCGTGCACAATTTTCCAAATGACCATTGCAATTTGGGGAGACTGGTCTTCTTAGCCAAGGAACAGTACACAGGGACACCCCCCCCCCCAATTTTTCTCTGCATTCTTGAGGTTCCCCTTCCCCAGTCTTCTGGCTTCAGGGCAACGGACACTAACCGAGACCAACGCTTCTCCGATGCTGGTCAAGACGTCCGGCTGTAGGGAATGGATGAGGAGCTTATGTTCCGTCAACACGGCCACCATTAGGGCCACGGTGTGTTCGGGGCCCAGGGTCTGAAGGAGGGTGAGAAAGCTGGCCCCACTGCGAAGAGAGGGGGAAATTCTGAATTTTCCACCGGCAGAATCTGGGCGGGATTGGGGTTCGTCCCGTCCCATCCTTACCTGAGAGGTAACGGGGACGAGACAGGTTGGCAAAGAAGCAGATTGTCGTAGGGCGACATCTGAGGAGTGAAAAAAGAGGGTTTCAGATGGAGGAGCTGATCCACAACACAACATCTTGCGTCAACGCACAACTGCCAAGTGTGTTTCTTTCCCGCGCTCCAATTAGCACCGGGAGAAATGCACAGAGGGCGTCACCAATGAGACGCAAACGGGGAATCGTTTTGGAGAAATAAAAACTGATGGTGGGGCAGAAAATTAGGAATATATCCCCATCAGTCAATTGCCAAAGGCGGCTTAGCTTGGAACAGCTGACATCCTGTGAGGAGACCTTGAATATTATTAAAGAAGAACAATTGCTAAAAAGTAGATGAAACTGCGACATCCAGTCTAAACATAAACCCTAATAATATTATTGGCATTGACAAAAATCAAGACTGGTCAATTGCCAAAGGCAAGCTCAGCTTGGAGCAGCTGACATCCTGTGCTTTAATGCTATTATTTTATTAAATAAAACATCAAATAAAAACATTTGCCTGTCCCAGGCAAACTTGAGGCGAATCAAAACGACAGATCCAGGCTAAACATCTGGCTGACGGTGCAGACAATCATCATCATAATAATTTGGACTCCAGAAGTGGTCCAGCAAAAGACAAGCCAGGTTCCTTTCTTCTTTTCCCAAATTCACGAGATTCCCATCATCCACCTACGGATCGGGCTCACCTGGACCAAGATCCGAGGTCTCTGTGGAGACGGGAAAGGGACGTTGTGCATGAAGTGAGAAATATGCCTAGGGGGAAAAAATACAACAACACACAAGTCACCAGAAAGGAAAGGGTTCAAAAATAACAAAACTGTTTTGTAAATGCCAGCGATCTCAGTTTGTGGTTTCAATGGGATGTAGACACAACACGGGGCGTCCCAGGGATGAGGTTTGGGCCACTTGCGTGAAGCCGGTGGGGTTTAGCCCGGAGAACCGTTTGTTTCTGCCGAATGAACCTCCAAAGCCGGGCACAGTCTATCTGAGAACGCCGTCGCGAGCACGCGTGGGTAAAAGGAAGACTGGTTGCTTCAACAGCCTCCTCTGTGGGCTTCCACGGGGTCCCCTTTCCAGCCTCCACCTCCCCCCACCCTCCCCACTTACGCCTCGAGGGGCAACACGTGGGGTCCGGAGATGCTGTAGCGGTAGATGAAGGTGAGGAATTTGCGGAAGACGTCAAAGAAAGGCCAGTGAGACAGGACGCAGATGCTCTTCCGGGTCTGCACGGACTTGTTGGTGATGGGGCGCCGGTCCACCACGGTGAGGAGGTTGAGGCACATGGACTGCCGCTCGGTGAGGCGTTCCCGGGGAAAGGACTCGTAAAACTGCATGGCAGCCCCGTAAACCTGGAGTAAGGGGGGAGAGCGGAGAGGGGTGCCGGGTTATTCCGGGCACATCTCACCTCGAGTGGGAGTGACAGGAAGATCTAGGCTTCTGTGTTTTGGGGGGCTGCCCCGGAATGGTCCAGAATAACATGGTTACCTTGTCCCCTGAAGCACCAGTCAACACGAAGGTGGAGAAGATGGGAAGCTGGTACTTTGCCTCGGCCGGCCAGCTCTCGATGGTGGCCCCCATGGGGAGGCAGAAGACGGGCACCGATTCGGGGAGGGGGAAAACCTCGTTGTCCTCCTCCGGGTAGCGGCTGAGGAGACCTGGGAAGTGAGAAAAGAACCATCTTGGCTTAAAAGAAGCAAGTTTACAGGAGGGAGAGTTCAGACAAAGGTGTTTCTCAAAGTTGGCGGCTTTAAGATGGATGGATTTCCATCTTAACTCCCAGGATCCCTCATGGGGGAAACTTCAACTCCCAGAATCCCCCAGCCAGCCTGCTTTAAGAGGGGTAGACTTCAACTCCCAGAATCCCCCAGCCAGCGTTCTGAGTAAATCTCATGGTCCTTGATATTTACGTTTATTTCGAAGCGCAATAGCAATCTCCAGTCTCTTAAACCAACAGGATATATTCAGTTATTCATAAGGAACTAGCAATTCCTGCACAATTATAAGGTGTGGGATGTTTTTAAATCTTTATTCTGGTTCCATTTTGAGGCCGGTTGAGCTATTTATTTAAAATACTGAATGAAAGGAAAAATAAGAAATAATGTACGGTGAAGAGGTGGAAGCGTAATTCTCTTTCTCGGCCTCTCCCTTGACTGCCCTGCTCTCCGTGCTTTGGCAAAATATGGGATTGACTACTGCATCCCTAGCTTTGTGGGCCTGGCCTTGTAGACTGGGCCCAATCAAACCCTTACCTGCTTCGTAGACCAGGGTGTTCCCTTTAGCGAGTGCCATCTTGTAACAGATATAGAGGGCTGGACCCCACTGTGGGGAGAGAGGAACATAAGATGGGGTGTCAGCCGAATGAAGAAGCAGATGAGACGTGACAAGCAGGCTGTCTGTCCATCTGCCTTGTCCAAGCAGACACAAAACCAGGAACATAACTCCCTACTCTCCATAAAACATCATGGAGTTGTTCCTCCCCCCTTGCTATGGGGGGGGGGGTTTAAGAGTTTCCAAGACTGGGGTCTCTCTAGGTGTTCAGACCACCCCTCCCAACACCCACGGCCCTGTGAGGTGCGAGGGACTCTCGGGAACTGCAACATCCGAAGCACCTGGACAAATTGCCCTTCACCCGGTCCCCGACTCACCATCCCGGCGTTCAGGTTCCTGTCCACCCGGCAGAAAGTGTGCGGCGTGCTCTCCGCTTTGCTGGGCATGATAAGGCAGATGTCCGTGATCCCCAAGGCGCTGTATGTCTGCCCCTCGCTGGCCCTCCGGTACGTCAGGAAAGTGTGCTGGTGACCAGGCGCACCCGAGGCCAGGTTCGCTGAGTGGCTGTACGGCGTCGTGTCGATGATTTTGTAGCCCGGTTTGGGCTGGTCCTTCCCACCATAATGCACCCTAAAGAAGCCAAACAAGGTCACCCTCTTGGGGACTGGGATAGGGAGTCCCTCTCGGGCGGGAATCCTGGGAGTTATAGTACAGCATTCTCTCCGAAAAGGACAGGATAGGATAGCTCGGCTCACACAACCTCTGTGACCTACCCCAGTTCCACAAAGGGGGGTGGGTTATCCTTCCCACCATAATGCACCCCAAGGAAGCCAGACAAGGTCATCCTCCTGGAGAATGGGATAGGGAGTCCCTCTCGGGCGTGGGAGTTACAGTACAGAATTCTCTCCCAAAAGGACACGACAGGATAGCTCTTCTCGGCTCATGCCGGATCCCTCCCGAACCCTCTGCAACCTACCCCAGTTCCACAATGGGGGGTTTATCCCGCCCCCGCCGGTAGCAGATGAACATCTGAGGGTTGTTCAGCAGGCTGGTGTTGAGCTCCACTGGGTGCCCCGTGGTGGTCCGATCGATGCAAGTGAAGCCGTGGGGCACCTCTTCGCCTTGCGAGCGGACGATAACGGCCACGTCCACAATGGGCTCGCTCGGGCGGGCCGGACGGGAGGCCTGGTTCTCATCCTCCAGCGATTTGGAGGTGTCCACCAGGCCAGCCACCACGAAGTAGTCCACCAACTGGGGGGCCCACTCCTCCGCCATGGCGGGGAATCACGGCATCTGCAGCAAGGCAAGGAAATGAGAAGGTGATGCCAGGAGCTGGAGAACACCACCCCATAGGCCGCCTGCCTGTCCAGGCAACGGCGGAAGGTCCGTGCGGAACGTTGGAGGGTCCGGTTGCCACGGAGGAGCTGGGAGACCCTTCCCCTCGTTCCTTCCCACTTCCTAGCCAGCTTTCTACTTCAATCGAGTTTGATTCGAATGCCGGCAGCAGAAACAGTTGGGTTACGTTTCCATCTAACGATATTAAAAGTTCAAAAAGAAGCTTAAGGAGCATTTGGTTTTTTTTAAAAAAAAAATGATAAAGGGAAGAAGAAAGGGAAAAAGAAACGTGAAAAAAAAATTTAAACAGTAGTCTATTTTAAAAAGAAAAAATTAAAAAGGAGGAGAAAGCCTGTTAAAAAGAGTTTAAAAAGAAGTTTAAAGAACATTTAAAAAAAAAACGAAAAAGGGGAAGAAGAAAGGGCAAGGAAAACGTGAAAAAAGGAATTTAAACAGTAGTCTTTTTTAAAAAAAAAATTAAAAAGGGGGAGAAGAAAGGGCAAGGAAAACGTGAAAAAAGGAATTTAAACAGTAGTCTTTTTTAAAAAAAAAAATTAAAAAGGGGGAGAAGGCCTGTTCAAAAGAGTTCAGAAAGAAATTTAATATCTCCAATATCTCCAATATCCAATATCTCAGGGGCTGCCATAAAGAAGAGGGAATTAAGCTATTTTCCAAAGCACCTGAAGGCAGGACAAGAAGCAACGGGTGGAAACTCATCAAGGAGAGAAGCAACCTAGAACTAAGGAGAAACTTCCTGACAGTGAGAACAATTAATCAGTGGAACAGCTTGCCTCCAGAAGCAGTAAATGCTCCAACACTGGAAGTTTTTAAGAAGAGACTGGACAGCCATTTGTCCGAAATGGTGTAGGGTTTCCTGCCCGAGCAGGGGGTTGGACTAGATGACCTCCAAGGTCCCTTCCAACTTTTCTACTATTACTAGTGTTTGTTCAAAAAATGAAAAAAGGGGAGGAAGGAGGAAAGGGAAAAAAAGGGTCAAACCAGAAGCCTAAAAAGGAACATTCATTTCAAAAATTAAAAAAAAAGGGGGAACAGAATTCAAAAAAAGCGGAAAAAAAAAAATTAAAATTCAAAAATCAAAAAAGGGGAGAAGCACGGAAGTCTTTTCTAAAGAAATACGTTCAAGAAGAGTGAAAAAGGAAGTTTAAAGTTTTTTTTTCTTTTTAAAAAAAAGAGAGAAAAAAATTAAAATAAAACCGTCCTGTCTTCGAATAAGTCGGCAAGGTTTGCTTTTGATCGTCACTGCCCCTGCCCAAAACGGGACTCCGGTTCCCATCGCTCCAACAGCCAAGGATCATGGGATCTGAAGTCCACCCCCCCTCTGCCTGGTTGAGGCTGCTGGGCACTGCTCTTTCCTCCTCCGGACCAACGCCTCTTCCTTTCAGGTGTCAACCTGTGCCAACTGACCGACTGTCCAGCGTGGGGTGCCTCCTGCGCCTGGATGCCCGCTGCCTGCTGCCTGCCCGGCTGAACTACGGGGGGACGGGACACAATACCCAGCTGCCCTGGGCGAACGGGGGTGTGTGTGTGTGGGTCCTCAGCACCTTTCGAACTCGCTGTCCCGTACCGGTGGGCCTTCAGTGGAGAAAGGGCAGCAACAACTCAGATTGTGATTTTTTTTTTTTGCAGCGAATGCAAAACGCCGGGAAGGGCTGGGCGAGTGAGAACAGGAAGTCCCCGTTTCTCATTTCTTGACTTCGCTAAAAAAGGAATATACACTCTGAACAAATCTCCCCCGTCCGAGATTTATTCAGAGTAAAAGTCACGTTTTCTCCAACCGAGCTTTTCGCTTTGAGGTTCAAAACCCGACATCTGCCATGAACTCTGCGCGTGCTCAGAGGCATGCAAAAGACATGCTGGGGCGAATCCCAGGGTGAAGAAAAAGAGCTGGAAAAACAGAAAAGAGGAGGAGGAAGAAGAAGAAAACAAAGCGAGGAAAATTAAAAAGGGGTCATTTAAGGAGACGGCGAGGACCAACATTCCCGGCGGATTGAAAAATTTGGCGTTGGCAAAGAGGGAGAGGCGCTTTTCTCCTTGAAGTGCTACCTTTCTGCTTGCGGGGAGATGATTTTCTAATGTGTATCCCCCCCTTCTCCAAATTAATAGGGGATCACTTGCTGAAAAACCATAGTAAGGAGATGGGGAGGACGAGCATCCCGGCTCATTGAAAATCTGGCACTTTTCTCCTTGAAGTGCTACTTTTCTGCTTGCGGGGAGCTGGTTTCCTAACGTGGCCCCTCCCTTCTCCAAATTAGTGGGGTCTCACTTGCTGGAGAACAATAGACCATGCGCAGCAAACCCTGGGCTTTCCCCTTCTTCTCAAGGGCAGCTGTCTTATCTGCCTGCCCCTTTGCCAGTGCCAAAGTGTCACAATGCTATTTTGGGTCTGGCACAACGACAATTCACACCTCCGCCATCACCTGGCTGGGGAAAACAGGAACAGCACCACAACTGTCCCCAACTGACCGACACCTTTTCGGCCTGCGGCAAAATAATTCGTTATACGTATTTATCATTTCACGTTTGCTTGTTGTGTTTATTTCACATTTGCTTGTTTTATTCTGCAAAAAGACACAACGGACCCCCCCCCCAGATAATGGGCTACCAGCTCTACCCTTTGAATTGCTGCCTGTGTCCCAGGCACCCAGGAACCTGCCCACTCCCGACAACTTCGGAGTGGGAGTTGTTGCAAAAAAATATTTGTGCCTAGCTGGAAATCAAACTAAAACAACAAGCCACGACGTGTCTCGGGATGCGTCGAAGGCAGAGGAAGGGAAATTCTGGGGTCAAAGGGGGGGGTTATTTTCCACCCCTCTCTGCAAAGTCTGCGTGTTCCCCCAGACGATGGGGTCGAAAATCCCTGCAGGTAGACAACTAGCAAGTCCAGGAAAACGGCTTAACTTTCCGTTGCGTTGACATCAACTTCCGGCGATGGGGAAAATACACAGCAAGCCACATATCTGAGGCTGCTTTTGACGAAGGCAGCAGAGACACACCCTGCATTAAACCCCAATGCTCAGAATGGTGGTCACCCCAAACTTTTGGGGTGTCTAGCCTACCTCTTAGTCCTTACCCCAAGCCCCAAACCTGCCTGCAAAAGGCAGCAATCTCTCACCAAGCACCCACATCCTGGTTTGTACTCGCCTTTGGCAGAAGGTGGCCACCATCCGGCTGTGCACCCCAGTCACAATTTTATGCCGATCCCGGCTTACGGCTGATCTGCCCGCGCTCTCCCTGTGAGGGAGGCCAGCCTGCAAACTTTAATTTTTTTTTAAAATACACTCAGACCTGGAAAGGTCTTCAGCTGCCTTGATTAGGGAGGATTCCCCCCCCCCAAAAGCTTTTTAATCAAATCGGGTTTTTATTTCTCCCAAGAGTGTTGCACGCTCGGCCTTTGCACAGCAACGGGGAGCAGATTCGGCCCCGAAAGAGACATGGGCGCGGCGCAGATTTGGCAGAAAAAGCAGGTTTTTACTGGTAAAAAAGAGTTTCAGCCAGAGGGGGTCACTTACGGTGTCCAGAAATGGGACGAAGTCAGGACGGAGTTTGAACATTTGCACTTCCCTTTTTTTCCGTATGGACGAAAAGTGAAAGTAAGGGAAAACAAGCCCTCCTCACTACATAACAGCCGGGTGTGTAAGAGAGAGAGAGAGGGGCGTGCAAGACACGGAGGCTGTCCCTCCCCACTTCCCCAGTGTGTGGATGAACCGTGATTAGAGACGGTCCTCCATTTATGACAATAACCGGGCCCAACATTTCTGTCGCTATGTGAAACGTTTCAGTTTTACAACCTTTCCTGCCACAGTTGATAAGTGAATCACTGCGGTTAACTTAGTAAGTGTATAGGCATGGGATTTCCTGCCTGAGCGGAGGGTTGGACTAGATGACCTCCAAGATCCCTTCCAACTCTGTTATTCTATTCTATTCTAGTCCGAATTCTATTCTATTCTATTCTATTCTATTCTATTCTATTCCTATTGTATTCCTATTCTATTCTATTCTATTTCTATTCTATATTTCTATTCTATTCTATTCCTATTATTATTCTATTCTATTCTATATTTCTATTCTATTCTATTCTATTCCTATTGTATTCCTATTCTATTCTATTCTATTCTATTCCTATTATTCTATTCTATTCTATTCTATTCTATTCTATTCTATTCTATTCTATTCCTATTATTATTCTATTCTATTCTATTCTATTCTATTCTATTCTATTCTATTCTATATTCCTATTCTACTCTACTCTACTCTACTCTACTCTGCGTGAGCCCCCCCCCCAAACCAGGGGGGTAGGAGGGATCTGGAAAGGGGGGGAGGAAAGGGGGGGGGCTCATCTGCCTGTCAGGAGAGGCAGGTGCCCAAGTCAAAGCAGGAAGTCAAAAGGGGGGGTGGGAAATTCTGGGTTCAAGTTTTATGGGGGAGGAAAAGAGACCGAAAAGGAAATGAAAAACCCACAACGACACCTGTTTGCCCGCTGCAGACACGGGACCCATTCATTCCGTTGGCGCCGCCCCCGTTTTTGTCGTTATTCCCCCCCAAAAAACAGTCACCAAAGATTGATGTCAAAACCCAGCAGTCTCAATGTGTGTGTGAGGAAACGTTACTCTTTTTTTCCCCATAAGGCAAGGTGTTGACCAGGCACCGCTTCCCACCGCGGTGGCCGAGAAAAGAGAGCTCAGATAGACTGCCCTGGCACACAGAGGCTCGGCTGGCTGCGGGAAGGGTGGAGGTGGGTGAGATTTGGGGGAGAAGAGAGGAAAAAGGGAGAGTGGGCAGAGAAAGGGGAGGGGCAGGGAATGAACTTTGGGGTAAGGATCCCATCTTCCCCAGCCAGTGACCCCTCCACTCTCCCTGCTGTGCACCATGGGCCGCCCTAATTCCCCCACACCCCAGGGAAACCAGCGCAATGCAACAGGAAAAACAAGCAGGAGAGATTTGGGAATTCTCCCAAAATTAAGGAAGGAAATTGGAGGGGAGGGGGTTCCTCCCTGCAAGCCAACGCCCCCCTCCCCAGCAACAGTCAGCTGAGCAGAGAGGGAGGGGCAAGAAGGGGAGGGAGGGGGGGTCAAGGCGGGTCTCTCCACCTACCCCTCTTTCTCTCCTCGCCCCCATCACCCAACCCCCCCCCGTTTTTGCAAAACTGCAAATTTCCACCGCTGCAATTGCAGCTGGGTCATTGCAACGGGGGTGGCGCCCAGATGGGACCTGGGGGGGGGGGTCCAGGAGATTGCAAAAGAGGGAGGGGGGATGAGGGAACCCGGGCGTCACGCCTGCACACGTTACACGCCTGCCACCTACCTGTGCAAACTTCAGCTTCGTTCCTGCCTCTTGCAAAGCTCCAGCCTCGCCATTGCGCGCTCTGGCCCTGGACTCGGCTCGGTGGCTTTGGTGGGTGGGGGTGGGGGGGAAAGAGAGAGGGGGCGAGGGCGCCCTCTAACGGCGAGGAGGACCTTCCCCTGCTGCTTTAACCCGTTCCCAGCACGCCCAGGGGGGATTGCACGTGTGAAGGCGGGGTTGTACGTGTGAATCAGCCCGTTTCTCCACTCACTGACTCCCCCCCCCGTTGGGAAACCAAAAATCGAGGTTCTCCCGTGCGGTGCGGGGGGGGAAGCTTTGCATTTGCACCCTTCTCGGGTGGACGTGGAGAAATGAAGCCCTGGGGTGGGACGGGGGACCACTAGGAGACCCTTTCTAAGGCTTGATTGCTTTTGCAATGAGACTGGACCCCGGGAATTGAAAAAAACTCGAGTGCAAACTATGGCAAAGTTGGGGTGGGTGGGTGGAGAAGACAGAAATAAAGCAAAGGAGCAGAAGAGGGACTGAGCCTGGCTTATACTTGCAAGTTGCAATGGGCGGGTGTGGAAGGCACTCTGTACATGCTCTATTGTGCGGTGTCCAATTCTTTCCACCGCTTTTGAAGCAACCCCGTAGTTTCCTGGTGGAAATTTTCCGTCTCGGAGGGTTTTGTTTTTTCCTGGGCCAAAAGACCCTTGTTCTCTTTCGATGGAGACCCCCATTTTTGCTCATTTCATACTTTTTTAACCCAAATCTGTCAATATAAATGACTATAAAGAGGGCGGAGGCCCGGCTTGTGTCGGCGCGCCCTCTAGTGGAGCGTTGAAGCAACAAGCACCTCTCCAAAATTCAGTATTCTTAAACGGTGCGGGGGAATACAATTCCATCATCCACAGCCCGCGTGGTCGGTTTATAAGGCGCAGGACGATCTACATTCTCTAAAAGGACTGTTGGCCATCCTAGCTGGGGATTTGGGGACCTGTAGTCCTGCCCATTGACCGGGCTGAGGAAACCAATGGTGACTGAAATACAGAGAATCAAATTTTTAAGATGTATTTATTTTAATCTTTTTTTTATTACTATTTTTGACCTGAGCGTGCTGGGAATGTAGGTGCAAAGATGCACCTCGAGTTTTCAGCCACATTTCTTTTGTATTTATTTCTTATTTCTTTCATCTTAATTTTTATTTTTGACCAACCTTATTTGGATGTAAAGATGCACCTCAAATTTCCAGCTACTTCCTTCCTTCCTTCCTTCCTTCCTTCCTTCCTTCCTTCCTAAATGCATATTAGTTGGTATTAATTCTTATTATTGCTGTACAAACTTTTAATTATAATCATAGGCAAACAAGCAAACATAGCATTATTGTGTGTTCACGCTCGCCGGTGCTCAGTTGTCTCTTCTGCTGTGACCCACAAAGGCAAACCATCCAAAGAATGGGTTTTATAAACTTTATAAACCGATTCCCAAGTTTGCTGCTTTTTCCTTTCTCTCGCCTCACCCTGTTCTCTTTTCGTGCCGTGTCTTTCTAAATCACCAACCTCTCCATTTAGCACTCTTTGAGGAAGAAGCGTTCTGAGAAACCCCGGCCATAATTTATAAAGTGAATTATGATTATTATTTGAGTCGGGCTGGTGAGCTGGGAGAAAAGCTTTTAAAACCCAGCAAGCCAGTTGACCTGCAAAGGGAAGCAGGTCAAAGGGTGGAAGAATTTTTCAAGTATCCAGACAAAAATCTTTTAAGGAAGTGGATTTCAGTTCCCAGTTACGCCTTTCCTTTGCCATTGCAAGAGACAACGGCAAACTCAACTTCCCTCTTCGCTTATTTCTCCATTTAACGTAAAGATCCTTCACCTGGGCACCCCCACCGCCCTTAAAAAATAAAGATAAAACTAGACTTCTTGGGGCAGAAAAAAACGGGGTAAAGAAAGAAACCTCTTTGGCTACACCCAAGGGACCTTCATGGAACTAAATGAAATTAAATCTGTGGGGAGTATTTTTTTTCTCCCCTTGGCTCCTGTAATTTCTGTGCCCTTAACTCTCAGCAGCAATGTGTAGACTTAATAATACAAAAATAAAATAAATTGTGTTGAAAAATAAAGGGGGAGGGGGTGAGGAAGAAAGGAAATGAAAGGGAGATAGGAAGGAAGGAGAAAAGAAAAAAGAATGTGAAGGAAAGAGGAAGGGAGGGAGGGAGGAAGGAAGGAATGAGAAAGGAAAGGAAAGGGAGGAAGGAAGGAAGAAGGAAAGGAAAGGAAAGAGGGAGGAAGGAAGGAAGGAGAAAGGAAAGGAAAGGGAGGAAGGAAGGAAGGAAGGAAGGAGAAAGGAAAGGAAAGAGGGAGGAAGGAAGGAGAAAGGAAAGGAAAGGAAGGAAGGAGAAAGAAAGGAAAGGAAAGAGGAAGGAAGGAGAAAGGAAAGGAAAGAAAGGGAGGAGAAAGGAAAGGAAAGAGGAAGGAAGGAAGGAAGGAGAAAGGAAAGGAAAGAAAGGGAGGAAGGAAGGAAGGAGAAAGGAAAGGAAAGAAAGGGAGGAAGGGAGGGAGAAAGGAGAAAGGAAAGGCTAAAAATGCAACTATGAAAAAAGTAGAAGAAAGTAGAAAAAAGAGAAAGATATAAAAAGTAGTTAAAAAAAAGATAAAAAAATATTCTTCATAGCAGTTACAAGTCCGTTAAGCTCTTTCTCAAAAATTACATCAACTCTATTCTTTCTACAATCTTTTCATCAAAACCATAAAACCGCAACTTCACTTTCTCCCCCCCTCCACCCCCCCCACATGTTTTACACAAAAAGAGTAAGAGAATTTTCTGTGGAACCAATAAATTCTTGAATCCAAGAAATTGGTTTGTCCATCTCAGCACGTTTTCAGTCCATTTCACAGATGTGTGTTTGTGTGTGTGTGTCCGTGTGTTTGTGTGCTTCTCTCTGTGTGTTTGCTTGTGTGTGTGTGTGTGTAGAGGCCTGACGCATTGGCAGCTGATCAAGACCCCAAGAATGACTCACGTGAAGTGAACACGTCAGCATCAGGGAGAGCTCCGGAGAAGAGGTTTTGCCCAATTCAAACAACACCTTAATCCGAAGGAAAATTTACTAATTGCCTTGTGGTGATATTTGCCTAATTCCAGGAATGAGGATCCTCCCAGGACGCCAATCTTGAATAACGCTTCCACCCCCTCCAGACTCTTCATAGCCCACCGATCTTCGCTGATGCTTACCAGCTGAGCCAAGTCGGACCGGATCAATAGCTGGGAAAGGAGACCACCCAGAGATCTTGTAAGGCCAGACTGCAAAGCCGTCGGTCGCAAAAGCCTCGAACTGAGTTTGATTTCAAGGAAACTTTGTGAGCCAAGACTGGGGCAATCAAGCATCCCCCCTCCCCACTTCTCCCTTAAATAAATAAATACTTTTTAAAATAATAATAATAATAATAATAATAATAATAATAATAATAATAATAATAATAATAATAGACATCTTGTGTTTTTGTCTTTTTTAAAAAAATTCATTTGGGTCTAGTTTTGTTTTGTCTCTGTTCATTTTTTTATTCTTTTCCTGATTTGGATTTTGTATTTTAACGAATAAAAATAAAATGGGGGGGGGGTTTGAAAAACAAAAATAAAAATAGGAGAGGAGAAAGGGTTTAAGGCTAGTGGAGCCGGTTTTATGCTTCGGATAAGATCTTAACGTGTCAAGGTGTTTTCCATAGCTGCGACTCACCTCCGGGGAGTGGAGGCAAAAGGATTGCATTACTCATTACTTAAACTCCTGCTTGAAGAAATCCACGTTTCGCCATACAGCTTGTGCAAGCGTTGCTGGAAACAGATGCAAATTGTTTCGCACTCGGTACCAACGAAAATATCCCCAGTTAGGATGAGTGTTGAGTTTAAAAAAAACGGGTTGACACCGAGTGGAGAAATGTTATCCTTAAGCTTAGCTGTTAGAGCCTCAAAATTGCAGAATCGCTTTTGGGCTGATCTGACCCCCAAAAGTGCTGGTTTTTCCGCCCCCCCCCCAAACTTGAACATTTGCTCCTGGTTGTAGCTATTTTTTTTTTTTTTTAATCGTAGCACCTCACCGTTTCCATCTTAGAAGCGATGTTCTTTCCAGGGCTGTTTTTAATTTTGTATTTATTCAGACTTTATATGGTCGTCTTCGACTTACGGCGGTCCGTTTAGTGACCGTTGCAACAGCACTGACCCCAAAAACACAACCTTCTTTCACACAATCGTTGCAGCATTCCCCCCTGGTCACCTGATCCAAATCGGGACGCTCGGCAACTGACTCGTAGTTACGACGGTAGCCGCGTCCCGGGGGTCATGTGATCCCTTCTTGCAGTCTTCTGACCCGCAACTTCAACGGACAAGCTGGATTCACGTAAGGACTGCAGGGATTGGCTTAAGAACTGCAGGGGCCAGGACGGTTGTAAAATGGGGGCCAAACCCACTTCGCAAATGCCTCGCTTAGCGACTTAAATTGGGGGCTCCGTTGTGGTCGTAAGCTGAGGACTCCCTGTGTTTCTTTTCCTTTGCTTCTCTTTACACCCCCCCCCTAGCCAATCTGGTTTTTTTTGGGGGGGAATCACCCACCCACTAATCAGATCCTGAGATCTGGCGTGTTTTTACGATCCTCAGTCTTTCCTAATAAATTTCTGGACGAAAGTGGAGTTTTGAAATAGAGCTCTTAGCAATTTCTAAGCAGAAATGTGGGTCAAGGGGCCCCACCGGAGCTATTTTTAACGCACAGCCACAACGCTACACAATCCACCCCAGCTGCCGGATCGACAAAACGGGCCGTATGAGTGCTGAGGCGGTATCTGTTTGATAAAGAATGAAAGAGCCATTGAGAATGGCAGAGCAGAAAAGGAAAGAGACGCGAGGAGGGAAGAGGAATAAAATAAAATAAAATAAAAATAACGCCCCCCCCCTTGCTCAATTCTTAACCCAAACTGCACAACCGGCTGAAGAGGAAAGACAAGGACTGGAGACCAAAATGCTTCCATATTTATATATATTTGCTTACAAGACAGGGAACAGTGAGGTGACTTACAAGAAGGAACAAGCGTTCTTGGACAGGCTGGAATTTTCCAGTGGCGCTTATTTCAGAAAGCAAGCCAGAGGATAAATATTCCTCCTTTTCATGACAGAATAAAAGACAGAAATAAAAATAACTTTTTTTTTCCCCCAGATGCTCGGGGTTCCATCTTGCTGGCTCACCCTCGAACCCGCAGCTGGCTCGCTCTTCCAGCTTATCTGCATTCTCCTCTTTGAACTCGGTTATCTTTGATTTTGTCTGAACTGATTAGGAGAAGAGAAGGCAGCAGTCGGGAAAAGGCTGTTGGCCAAGTGGGAGCCAGCTGCGGGGAAGAGGGAGCCAGCTGCTCTCCTCCCAGATTATTTTCTCTTTTTTTTAAAAAAAACAAGGAAGGTTACACAAAGCAGATCCTTCCTCCCTTTTCAACATTTCAATGTGATTAAAACTGAACTAACCCTCCTTTCTTCTCTCCCTTTTCCCATCTATTCCTTCCTTCCTTCCCTCTCTCCCTCCCTCTTTTCTTCCCATCTATTCCTTCCTTCCCTCCTTCCCATCCCTTCCTTTCTTCCCTCCCTCCCTCTTCCCATCTATTCCTTCCTTCCCTCTCTCCCTCCCTCTTTTCTTCCCATCTATTCCTTCCTTCCTTCCCTCCTTCCTTCCCATCCCTTCCTTCCTTCCTTCCCTCCCTCCTTCCCATCTATTCCTTCCTTCCCTCTCTCCCTCCCTCTTTTCTTCCCATCTATTCCTTCCTTCCCTCCTTCCTTCCCATCCCTTCCTTCCTTCCCTCCCTCCCTCCTTCCTTCCCATCTATTCCTTCCTTCCCTCCTTCCTTCCCATCCCTTCCTTCCTTCCCTCCCTCCCTCCCTCCTTCCTTCCCATCTATTCCTTCCTTCCCTCTCTCCCTCCCTCTTTTCTTCCCATCTATTCCTTCCTTCCTTCCCTCCTTCCTTCCCATCCCTTCCTTCCTTCCTTCCTTCCTTCCTTCCTTCCTTCCCTCCCTCCTTCCCATCTATTCCTTCCTTCCCTCTCTCCCTCTCTCCCTTTTCTTCCCATCTATTCCTTCCTTCCTTCCTTCCCTCTCTCCCTCCCTCTTTTCTTCCCATCTATTCCTTCTTTCCCTCCTTCCTTCCCATCCCTTCCTTCCTTCCCTCCCTCCCTCCCTCTTCCCATCTATTCCTTCCTTCCCTCTCTCCCTCCCTCTTTTCTTCCCATCTATTCCTTCCTTCCTTCCCTCCTTCCTTCCCATCCCTTCCTTCCTTCCTTCCTTCCTTCCCTCCCTCCTTCCCATCTATTCCTTCCTTCCCTCTCTCCCTCACTCCCTTTTCTTCCCATTTATCCCTTCCTTCCTTCCTTCCCTCTCTCCCTCCCTCTTTTCTTCCCATCTATTCCTTCTTTCCCTCCTTCCTTCCCATCCCTTCCTTCCTTCCCTCCCTCCCTCCCTCTTCCCATCTATTCCTTCCTTCTTTCCCTCCTTCCTTCCCATCCCTTCCTTCCTTCCCTCCCTCCCTCCCTCTTCCCATCTATTCCTTCCTTCCCTCTCTCCCTCCCTCTTTTCTTCCCATCTATTCCTTCCTTCCTTCCCTCCTTCCTTCCCATCCCTTCCTTCCTTCCCTCCCTCCCTCTTCCCATCTATTCCTTCCTTCCCTCTCCCCCTCCCTCTTTTCTTCCCATCTATTCCTTCCTTCCTTCCCTCCTTCCTTCCCATCCCTTCCTTCCTTCCCTCTCTCCCTCTTCCCATCTATTCCTTCCTTCCCTCCTTCCCATCTATTCCTTCTTTCCCCCTCTCCCTCCCTCCCTCTTTTCTTCCCATCCGTCCATCCCTTCCTTTTCCCTTTTCTCCTTCCTTCCTTCCTTCCTTCCTTCCTTCCTTCCTTCCTACCGTCATCCCTCCCTCTTGTGAAGAATCTCCATTATCCAGTTTCAAATGTTTATATTCTACACATCTTTCTGGGGGAAAAAAGAGGTTCATTTCTGCCCCCAACATAAAACTGACAATGTTCTCTATCCAGAAAATCAAATATATAAATTGGATGGATGGATGGATGGATAGATAGAGGGATAGATGGACGGATCAACCAACCAACCAACCAACCAGTCAATCAGTCAGCCAATAAATCCACGCAGGGCTATTTGGGGATCACTTCTGAAGACCCAAAGGGAATAAAATGAATTTTAGAAAAGAAGAAGAAATAAAAACAGACCCAGCCCTGATGTTTACAGGATTGAGCAAAAGAACCAGTGTGCTTATGCACAATCTTCACAGAAAGAAGTGGCAAGGCAGAATTAGCTGCCCAGGAAATTTACCTGGAAGGAAGTCAAAATATTGAGGAAGTTCCACAGACCTTGAGCAAGAGGAGAAACGTTGAGAGGGCCGCAAAAGAGTTGGTCTCTGTGTGTGTGTGTGGGTGGGTTTAGGACGATTTCGCAAAGAAGGGTGGAGGCAAAGCTCCGGAGGGATCTATAAAAGATGACAGTGTTGCAAAGATCCTCACTTCATCCGGGACCAACCTTGCTCTCTTATCTATCAACACTGAAGGTAAGTGGAGGCTCTTGGCCAAGAGTTCAAGACTTCTCTGGGTCCAGAAGGCCAAAATCGGGGGGGGGGGGATTTTAGGGGGGAATCACTCTGTTGAGGCAGGAGAACACATGGAGAGCCCCAGATTCAGCTTTGGGTCTGACAACTCCAGTCTGAAGATCTGGAGAACTTTTGCAGCCCGAGGCTGGATCTCAGTGCCCAGCAGTTTAGGGAGAACTACATGGACTTTAGCTCCAGGGGAAGAGCCAGACTTTTGAAGGTCCAACCAGGGTGAAGCATGTGGCCTTCATTACAAGCCCACCTTCTTTCCAGAACTAGGGACCTTCTCTTAATTTTTTTTTAAGGTCTCTTCTTGACACAAACCAGTTGCCATCTGGTCCCATACCGGGATGGGCACTTTCTACTGGCCAGGTGCCAAGAAAGGGGAAAAGTTGGCAAGTTGGCAAAAGCTCCAGGGTCAAAATCAATTGTGGTTCTTCTCCCCGTTTCATCTTGGAAATGAGCTGACCTAAAATGGTCATTGGAACCAGCTCAAAATTTTGAATCTTAGGATCATAGAGTCATAATAGCATAGAGTCATAGGGTCCTGGGGCTGGAAGGGACTTTGGTGGTCATCTAGTCCAACCCAAAGCAGGAGAACCCATTCCACCCTGGTCAAAGAGTTGTCCAGCTTGAAGATCTCCAGCAATGGAGCACTCATAACTCCTGGAGGTAACCCACTGACTAATTGTTCCCGTGTCCTGTTTAATGGGAATTAAATTCTACAGTTGATAATTTCTGTAATACTGGGAAGAACTATTTGGGAAGTTTTGGAAGGAAAAAGGAGCAAAGAGGGGGAAAAAAAGTACAACTGAGGCTCAATTCAACCATTTGTGTTTGGAGCTCCGGGATGAGTTGACGAATTCCCATCTTGCCTTGTGATAATTTGATTCTTCCAGATCAGAAGCAAAGCAAAATGTCTAAGACTCAGCTGGAAAAATGTTGCGACTGCATCATGGACGTCTTTCACAAATATTCCATGCCATTGGCCCATCCTGACAAGCTCTCCAAAGGGGAGTTTGCCAAGATGCTGAAGGAGCAGCTTCCAAACTTCATTCAGGTGAGAAGAACCTTTTTGTTTCCTTTGATTAAAAAAAAAATTGGCAAGGAAAGGGAAGGGAAGGGAGAAGGTAGAAATGGGGATCCACCACAAAGGAGCTTGAATTTCATGGAGAAAGTTGCCAAAACCTGAAGGCATCAACAGGAGCTTCAAGCTGAATGGTGCTGTGGCGGCCTCTGGTGGCCTCTGAGAATAGTGCAGACGGTCCCTTTCATGGCTTCCAAAACCAGAGGCAAAACGGACCAAAATGGGTAAAAAGTCAAGTAGACGTGCAAAACAAAACAAAACAAAACCAGAATGTTGAGAAAATGAAATTTTGGGGTGCTTCAGCAATCAAGTGGGGTGATTGTCCAGCTTCTGGCCTTGGGTGGTGGTCCTGGAAAAAAAACCCCGGAAAAATTGGGGAAAAAAAATAGGTTTCCCCCCCTCCCCGTTTTTTTTCTTTTTTTTTTCCAAAGCCATTTGTAAAAAAAAATGGAAAAAAACACCTGTCCCCCCCCATTTTTTTCAGCATTCAGCTCAGTCTCCTCATCTCCCCAAACCACTCAGCCAGTCCTTACGGTCAAAATTTGGGATCAAAATTTCCACGGGTTAAGCCAGGCTGGCTGTTAAAATAAATCCTGCCCGATTTTATGACCCTTTTCAGCCAAGGTTGTTAAGTGAACCCCCTGGTCGTTAAACGAACCGGGTTTCCCTTACCGGCTGCTTTTGGCTGGGAAGGTCGTAAGTGCGGATCATGCGGCTCCAGGATGTAAATATACCCTGGTTGCCAAGCACCTTAATTTTGATCACGTGACTTTGGAGGGGGGGGAATGAGACGAGAGTCATAAATCAGAGGACTTTCTTTCCCCCCTGGCATCATTGTAACTTCAAACAGTCATTAAATGAATTGTCGTAAATCGAGGACCAGTCGCATCCCTTGGTCTTCCTTTTCCAGTGCTGTCTTAGCGATTTTCTCAGGGTTATGATCGGGCCCAAACTGTTAAAAATGTTGTTTTCTTTGGAATTTGCAGAGCACTAAGAACACCGAGGCCATGAACCGCCTTTTCAATGAGCTGGACCAGAATAAGGATGGGGAGCTGTCCTTTGAGGAGTGGCTGACTCTGGTCGGGAGATTCTTGGCCCAGTGTCATGAAAACTTCCACCACAAGCACTGAGCCAGCGGCGGGAGGATCCGATGTCATCAGATCGCTTCTCCTCCCGGTCTAACCAGCGTCACCCCTTCGAGGCTTCTGGGCTCAGCCCTGGGGAGCCCAGAACAATAAAGAGTTTAATCTTCCCCAAAATGGTGCGGTTGTCATGTTCTTCAAGGTTTAATTTTGTGTGTGTGTGGGGGGGGGAGGATCACGAAGAGCCTAGAAGATCAGCCTGAAGTGTTGGTCAAGCGTGGCAACTTGAAGAGGGATGGACTTCAACTCCCAGAATTCCCCTTCCGACTGTTATTCGGCATTCCGAGCAGGGGGCTGGACTAGAGGACCTCTGAGGTCCCTCCTGAGTCTGTTATTCTCACATAGGGTTGGACTAGAAGGTCTCCGGGGTCCCTTCCAGCTCTCTGATTCTGTATTCTGAGCAGGGGGTTGGACTAGAAGACCTCCAAGGTCCCTTCGAACGAGTCTAAATTGTATTTTATGGGGTCTGCTGCCCTCTTGTGGTTGAATAGAAACACACATGCTAATTGGCAAAAAAAGGGAAGGGAAGGGAAGAAAGGAAGGGAGGGAGGGAGGGAGGAAGGAAAGAAAGAAAGGAAGGAAGGAATAGAGGAGAGAGGGAGGGAGGGAGGGAGGGAAGAAGGGAGGAAGGAAGGAATAGAGAAGGGAGGGGGGAGGTAAGAAGGAAGGAAGAAATAGAAAAGGAAGGAAGGGAGGGAAGAAGGGAGGAAGGAAGGAAGGAGTGGAGAAGGAATGAATAGAGAAAGAAGGGAGGGAGAAAGGAAGGAAAAAAGGAAGGAAGAAATAGAAAAGGAAGGAAGGGAGGAAGGAAGGAAGGAATAGTGAAGAAAGGGAGGGAGGGGGGAGGTAAGAAGGAAGGAAGAAATAGAAAAGGAAGGAAGGGAGGGAAGAAGGGAGGAAGGAAGGAAGGAATAGCGAAGAAAGGGAGGGAGGGAGGGAGGAAGGAAGGAAGGCAGAAGAAAAGAAGGAAGGAATAGAGAAGACCCTGAGCAAGAGGACAAACGCTGCGAGGGCCGCAAAGGAGTTGGTCTGTGTGTGTGTGTGTGTGTGTGTATGTGTGTGTGGGGGGATAGGACGATTTCGCAAGGAAGGGTGGAGGCAAAGCTCCGGAGGGATCTATAAAAGATGACAGCGTTCCAAAGATCCTCATTTCATCCGGGACCAACCTTGCTCTCTTATCTATCAACACTGGAGGTAAGTGGAGGCTCTTGGCCAAGGGTTCAAGACTTCTCTGGGTCCAGAAGGCCAAAATCGGGGGGGGGGGATTTGGGGGGGATCACTCTGTTGAGGCAGGAGAACACATGGAGAGCCCCAGATTCAGCTTTGGGTCTGACAACTCCGGTCTGAAGATCTGGAGAACTTTTGCAGCCCGAGGCTGGATCTCAGTGCCAAGCAGTTTAGGGAGAACTACATGGACTTTGGCTCCAGGGGAAGAGCCAGACTTTTGAAGGTCCAACCAGGGTGAAGCATCATGTGGCCTTCATTACAAGCCCACCTTCTTTCCAGAACTAGGGACCTCCTCTTAATTTTTTTTTAAGGTCTCTTCTTGACAGAAACCAGTTGCCATCTGGTCCCATACCAGGATGGGCACTTTCTACTGGCCAGGTGCAAGAAAGGGGAAAAGTTGGCAAGTTGGCAAAAGCTCCAGGGTCAAAATCAACTGTGGTTCTTCTCCCGCTTCATCTTGGAAATTAGCTGACCTAAAATGGCCCAACTGGGTCATTGGAACCTGTTGTGTCCTGAGCCTGCAAATGCAGGCTTGGGTTGTTGCAATGGTCCCAGGCAGTTGCAAGCTGCCCGGGACCAGACTGGCTGGCGCTGGCTTCGCGCGCCTAATAGTTACCATTTTGCCCGGGGGTGTTGTTAAAAAGAGTCTGAGTGGCCTGCGAGCCTCAGAGCTGTGACAGAGTGAAAAAGACTTCAATAAAGAGCTGTTGGAACTACAGAATGTGCTGTATTCATTCGCCATTGATTCGAGGACACAACACTGGCGACGAAGGTAGAATGGCTTACAACAAACAAAAAGAAGAATTGTAAGCTTACTCAGGAGTCTTGAAGAAGGAAGACGGCGTTGAACTCAGCACCTGGCATGGCAATACAGTGTCGCTGGAGGTAAGCTGGCTGATAGACCCCTTCCTTACAAAGAAGCAAGAATGGCGAAGATAGGGAAACTGTCTGAATTCGATGTCACGCACCCAGAAAGATGGGAGTCTTATGTTGCTAGGGTAGAAAATTACTTTAGAGTAAATCAAGTAAGAGAAGATGGCTTGAAGGCCGCTACTTTGCTGTGTGTCTGTGGTCAAGATGCATTTGAAATTGCTGAAAATTTAGCAGCCTCTGCTCCTCTTGATTCTGTCACTTATACAGATTTAAAAAAAATTATTGAAGGAACATTTTCAGCCCAAGTCTGTAATTGCATGGAGACATACTTTTGAACAAAGGGATCAAAGAGCTGGTGAATCAGCTAAAGCAGTGGTTCTCAACCTGTGGGTCGGGACCCCATTTGGGGTCGAACGACCATTTCACGGGGGTCGCCAAACAACGCAGTCCCCCATTTTTCCCCCCTTTTCCTTAGCTGTGCTACTCCCTTTTATTCTATTGGCTTTTCAAAGCCAATAGGAATTGTCCAGGCTGTCTCTGCCCTGCTGAGCCCGCCAAAAGTCCCATTCTGCAAACGGTGCTGCACTAGTTGAGTAGTCCTCAACTTACAACCGGTTGAGTAGTCCTCGACTTACGACCGATTGAGTAGTCCTCGACTTACGACCGGTTGGGGGTCGCGGCATTAAAAAGGTTGAGAACCACTGAGCTAAAGAATACCTTGCAGCCTTAAGAAGAGCAGCTAAGCCTTGTGATTTTAAAGACTTAGAAGAAAGGTTGAGAGACCGATTTGTATGTGGGCTTAGGAACAGAGACTTGCAACAGAGACTTGCAAAGGAGGACATTTCATTCCAAAATGCCTTGAGAGAGGTCACTGCAGAAGAGGAAGCAGGTGGGGCAGTCAAGAACATGAGGCCTATTAGGAACAACCCAGAAGCCGTCTCCGTGCACCATGAGAGAGTCCAGGAGAGCTTGGAAGAAGATCCTGAAGATGAGGTGGATCATCTTTACCCAGCCAAAGAAAGAAAACAGAAGGAAGGCAAAGAAAAGTCTTCAGCTGTACCCAAGTGCTTCGGGTGCGGAGGTCACCACAGGAGGACCGACTGCAGGTTCCGTTCTGCAATCTGTAGAGCATGTGGAAAGCAAGGCCACATAGCAGCTGTGTGTCTGGGCTGTCAGAAGGTACAACCCCGAGAAGAATTGCGCCTGAAAGGTACCAGGGTACCCAGCCAAAACAGGGTGGGTTTCTGTGCATCACGTAGAAGCATTTATAGGACAGGCACACACAAGCCACTTAAAAAGAAACTGTCACTTAAGGTGAAGTTGCAAGGAGTTCCATTGGTTATGGAACTAGACACTGGGTCTGCACTTTCAATTATTTCCATTCACACTTTCAGAAAGGTTTGCTCTAGCAGTGGATTCCAGGCCAAGCTTAAGCCATCCAATATAGTCTTAATGGACTTCCAAAATTCCAAGGTGTGTGTTAAGGGAGAGGCCACCCTTAATGTACAATACAAGGATTTTGAAGGTCCATTAGAGGTATTGGTAGTTGGGGGTGAGCGCACAAATCTCATTGGACTCGATTGGTTTGAGGCCTTGGGGATACAAGTCACAGGGCTTCACAGTTTGCAAACATTAGGTCTACAGGAAGTCTGCAAAGAATTTGCAGATGTCTTCAGCCCTCAGCTGGGAGCATACAAGGGCCCACCAGTTTCCTTGAAACTGGACCCCACTGTCACTCCTATCAGAGTAAAAGCAAGGAGAGTGCCTTTTGCATTGAAAGGGAAGATTGATGCTGAATTGGACAAATTGATTCAGCAAGGTGTCTTAGAACCTGTTGACTCAAGTCCTTGGAAAACTCCCATAGTCACGCCTCTCAAGGCTAATGGGGACATTTGCATCTGTGCAGATTAGAAATGCACTCTAAACAAGGCATTGCAATAGTATGCATATGCTGTTGTAGTCAGCCACATTTTGGCCTTCCTCAAAGGGGGGCGTGTTTTTGCAAAGCTGGATTTAGCACAGGCTTATCAACAGTTACCTGTTGATGAAGCTGCTGCTAAAGCACAAACTATTGTAACTCATAGGGGGGCATTCAAAGTCAAAAGACTACAATTTGGAGTAAATGTAGCTCCTGGAATTTTCCAAAGCGTAATGGAAAACACCCTGAGGGGTATACCAGGGGTTTGCCCCTATTTTGATGAGGTCCTAATAGCAGGAGAATCCACTCAAAATTTAGCTGAGAGGTTGAGGGCTGTTCTGCTGCGTTTCAGGAAAACAGGCCTCAAGCTTAAAAAAGACAAATGCAAAATTGGAGTGTCTTCTACAGGTTTCCTGGGATTCAGAATAGATACCAAGGGCATTCACCCTGCTGAGTCTAAATTGAAGGCTATCCTGCAGGCTCCTAGGCCTAAATCTAAACCTGAATTACAAGCTTTTCTGGGCCTCTTGAAGTTTTACAATGCATTCATTCCTAACAAAGCTAATGTAGCTGAGCCACTTCATAGGCTCTTGGGCAAACAGGCAGTGTGGCAGTGGTCACAAGCACATGAAGCAAGTTTCAATGAGGTTAAGGCCTTATTTACATCAAATGATGTGCTTGCACATTTTAATGAAACTCTTCCTGTGTGCATCGCTTGTGATGCTTCCCCTTATGGGGTGGGAGCAGTACTTAGCCATCTAAGACCCGATGGAACTCAGGTTCCTGTTGCATACTACTCCAGAACCTTGTCTTTTGCTGAGCGAAACTACACTCAGATAGATAGAGAAGCCTTGGCCATTGTTGCTGGAATTAAAAAATTCCATGATTTCCTATATGGCAGACACTTCACGGTCTACACTGACCATAAGCATCTGTTGGGGTTGTTTACTACGAACAAACAAACCCCCCATATCATCTCCCCCAGAATGCTGAGATGGTCCATCTTTCTGTCAGCCTATGACTTTTCTTTGGTTCACAAACCTGGCAAGGAAATGGGCCATGCTGATGGCCTTAGTAGATTACCTTTACAAATGGTAGAGGCTGACCCTGCCCCTGCCATCAACATTCTTTCCATTCAGGCGTTGCCTGAGTCGCCCTTAAACACCAGGGATGTGGCTGCTGAATCAGCCACGGACCTCACACTCACTCATGTATTGTCCTGGGTTTTGTCTGGATGGCCAGAGAGTTGTCCAGGTACTGAGTTTCAGAGTTTCTGGCTTAAGAAACAGGAGTTATCCACTTTTCAGGGTTGTCTGCTGTGGGGCAGCAGAGTTGTTATTCCTAGCTCAATGAGGCCTAGGGTCTTGGCTTCCCTTCATGAGGGCCATACTGGCATTGTCAGGATGAAGGCGCTTGCGCACAGCCATTTGTGGTGGCCAGGGTTAGACAGGGAAATAGAGGCTCAAGTGCACGGATGCCACTTGTGTCAGCGCTCACACCTGGAAATGCCTCAGGCTCCTGTACATAGATGGGAGGAAACACAGTCACCTTGGTCTAGGGTGCACATTGATTACGCTGGGCCCTTTCAGGGTCAATTCTTCTTGGTCCTTGTTGACAGCTATTCAAAGTGGCTTGAGGTTGTACCTGTCTCTTCAACCACTGCTGCCAAGACCATTCAAGTACTGAGGGGGATTTTTGCTGCACATGGGCTCCCTGATGTCCTGGTGTCTGACAATGGTCCTCAATTCATTTCTTTCGAGTTTCAAGCTTTCTTACAGGCCAACATGATTCGTCATGCCACCTCTGCACCATTCCACCCTTCCACCAACGGTATGGCTGAACGGATGGTCCGCATCACCAAGGATACTTTAAAGAAACTGACCTACGGGGACTGGCACGACAGGTTGGCAGACTTTCTTCTTGCTTACCGCACCACACCTTCAACTTCCACTGGGAAAAGCCCAGCTGAACTCCGTTGGGTGCGCAAACTGATCACTAAACTTGACAGGTTGCACCTGGACAGACTGCCTCCTAAGGTCACCCAACCCAGGGCCCCGCGGTGTCTGCAAGTGGGTGCCCCCGTGGGGACCCAGAACTACGGGCCTGGTCACTTGTGGGTTCCTGCCATAGTATGCAAGGTTACTGGCCCTTTGTCATACGAGGTCTCCTTGGACGACGGTCGTGTCCTTCGGCGGCATATCGATCAGCTGCGTACGAGACTGGACTTACCCTCTGAAACTCCTGGGCTTTCTCCAGGGGGGGAGGGGGACCACTATGGGCAAAGGGAAGGGTGTTGGCAGCAGCCGGGGCCAAATGGAGAGGCCACAGACGGCCTGTTCCAAGGGTCCGCAAGTGTTCCAAACAGGAATTCAAGGGAACAAGAAATCATACAGGCACCAGTGCCTACTCCAGCCAGGGAGTCACCCAGGGGGCATACTCATCATTCACAACTACCATTCAGCACTCCAGTCAGGGAGAATAACCGGGAGCATCCTAATAACCCAAACATTGCAAGAGAACTGGCACACAAACAGTCAAGTTGGCCCAGTACTGCTACTGCTTCCAGAAGGAAGTCTTCACACAGGGAGGTGGTCAGAGAGGCCAATCCCGATTCTGGCACCTCCAGCATAGATTGGGGGGCAACTGAGTATTGGGGCACTACAGAAACCCCAGACAATCCCGTTACAGGGCTTGGGAGTGAAGGGATGCAGTCCCTTGATAGGTCCAGTGTGGACTTGGAGGGCTCTACAGAAATGCCAAACAGTGGGAGGCTTACAGTGGGGCCCGAGAGCCTTCAGTTAGGCAGGTCAACCAGGTACATGGGGGAGCAAAGTCCTGGTCTGACGAGCCCGGTGGGCAAGCAAGCAGACCAGGCAACGGGGCACAGTTCACGGGGACCACCAGGGTTTGAAAGAGGGGGCAACTCCACGTCATCCTCTACACAAGAGGAAGTAGGGGATTCTCAGAATCTAAGGAGGTCACAGAGAGTGAAAAGATCTCCCAAGTATCTTGAGGACTTTGTAACACTGCTGGCAAAGCAGAGAAAATGAGAGGGTGCCTGCTGTTGTGGAAAATGGAAGTGTGGGCATTGGTAGTTAATCCCAGAACTATAGCCCGGTATCATTTGTGGTGTGGGTATTGCACAGCTGCAATAGATGTGCAGGTTTGGGTTGGCACACCACGCTCGTGTTGAGGTCGCATATAACTACCTATATAGTTAATAAGTCTCATCTGGGGGGGAAGGGGTGTTGTGTCCTGAGCCTGCAAAGGCAGGCTCAGGACGTTGCAATGGTCCCGGGCAGTTGCAAGCTGCCCGGGACCAGACTGGCTGGCGCCGGCTTCATGCGCCTAATTGTTACCATTTTGCCCGGGGGTGTTGTTAAAAAGAGTCTGAGAGGCCTGCGAGCCTCAGAGCTGTGACGGAGTGAAAAAGACTTCAATAAAGAGCTGTTGGAACTACAGAATGTGCTGTATTCATTCGCCATTGATTCGAGGACACAACACTGGCGACGAAGGTGGGATGGCTTACAACAAACAAAAAGAAGAATTGTAAGCTTACCCAGGAGTCCTGAAGAAGGAAGACGGCGTTAAACTCAGCACCTGGCCTGCCAGTACAGCGTCACTGGAGGTAAGCTGGCTGATAGACCCCTTCTTTACAAAGAAGCAAGAATGGCGAAGATAGGGAGACTGTCTGAATTCGATGTCACGCACCCAGAAAGATGGGAGTCTTATGTTGCCAGGGTAGAAGATTACTTTAGAGTAAGTCAAGTAAGGGAAGATGGCTTGAAGGCCACTACTTTGCTGTGTGTCTGTGGTCAAGATGCATTTGAAATTGCTGAAAATTTAGCAGCCCCTGCTCCTCTTGAATCTGTCACTTATACAGATTTAAAAAAATTATTGAAGGAACATTTTCAGCCCAAGTTGTCTGTTATTGCATGGAGACATACTTTTGAACAAAGGGATCAAAGAGCTGGTGAATCAGCTAAAGAATACATTGCAGCCTTAAGAAGAGCAGCTAAGCCTTGTGATTTTAAACACTTAGAAGAAAGGTTGAGAGACCGATTTGTATGTGGGCTTAGGAACAGAGACTTGCAACAGAGACTCTTTGCAAGCTGCCCGGAACCAGACTGGCTGGCGCTGGCTTCGCGTGCCTAATTGTTACCATTTCGCCCGGGGATGTTGTTAAAAAGAGTCTGAGAGGCGTGCGAGCCTCAGAGCTGTGATGGAGTGAAAAAGACTTCAATAAAGAGCTGTTGGAACTACAGAATGTGCTGTATTCATTCGCCATTGATTCGAGGGTTTCCCTTACCGGCTGCTTTTGGCTGGGAAGGTCGTAAGTGCGGATCACGCGGCTCCAGGATGTAAATATACCCTGGTTGCCAAGCACCTTAATTTTGATCACGTGACTTTGGAGGAGGGGGAATGAGACAAGGGTCATAAATCAGAGGACTTTCTTTTCCCCCTGGCATCATTGTAACTTCAAACGGTCATTAAATGAATTGTCATAAATCGAGGACCAGTCGCATCCCTTGGTCTTCCTTTTCCAGTGCTGTCTTAGCGATTTTCTCAGGGATATGATCGGGCCCAAACTGTTAAAAATGTTGTTTTCTTTGGAATTTGCAGAGCACTAAGAACCCCGAGGCCATGAACCGCTTTTTCAATGAGCTGGACCAGAATAAGGATGGGTAGATGTCCTTTGACGAGTTTGTGACTGCCCTCATTAGAGTCTTTGAAACTTCCACCACAAACACTGAGCCAGCGGTGTGAGGATCTGATGTCACCAGATCGCTTCTCCTCCCTGTCTAACCAGCGTCACCCCTTCGAGGCTTCTGGGCTCAGCCCTGGGGAGCCCAGAACAATAAAGAGTTTAATCTTCCCCAAAATGGTGCGGTTGTCATGTTCTGCAAGGTTTAATTTGGAGGGGGGGGGGAGAGGATCACGAAGGGCGTAGAAGATCAGCCTGAAGGGTTTGTCAAGTGTGGCAACTTGAAGAGGGATGGACTTCAACTCCCAGAATTCCCCTTCCGACTCTGTTATTCGGCATTCCGAGCAGGGGGCTGGACTAGAGGACCTCCGAGGTCCCTCCTGAGTCTGTTATTCTCACATAGGGTTGGACTAGAAGTTCTCCGGGGTCCCTTCCAGCTTTCTTATTCGGTATTCTGAGCAGGGGGTTGGACTAGAAGACCTCCAAGGTCCCTTCCAACGATTCTAAATTGTATTTTATGGGGTCTGCTGCCCTCTTGTGGTTGAATAGAAACACACACATACATTTGCAAAAAAAGGGAAGGGAAGAGAAGAAAGGAAGGGAGGGAGGGAGGGAGGAAGGAAAGAAAGAAGGAAGGAAGGAAGGAAGGAAGAGAGAAGGAAGGGAGAGAAGGAGGGAGGCAAGAAGGAAGGAATAGAGAAAAAGGGAGGGAGGGGGGAGGTAAGAAGGAAGGAAGAAATAGAAAAGGAAGGAAGGGAGGAAGGAAGGAAGGAAAGAAGGAAGGAAGGAAGGAATAGCGAAGAAAGGGAGGGAGGGAGGAAGGGAGGAAGGAAGGAAGGCAGAAAAAAAGAAGGAAGGAATAGAGAAGACCCTGAGCAAGAGGACAAACGCTGCAAGGGCCGCAAAGGAGTTGGTCTGTGTGTGTGTGTGTGTGTGTGTGTGTGTGTGTTGTGTACGTGTGTGCGTGTAGGGGGATAGGATGATTTCGCAAGGAAGGGTGGAGGCAAAGCTCCAGAGGGATCTATAAAAGGTGACAGCGTTGCAAAGATCCTCACTTCATCCGGGACCAACCTTGCTCTCTTACCTATCAACACTGGAGGTAAGTGGAGGCTCTTGGCCAAGGGTTCAAGACTTCTCTGGGTCCAGAAGGCCAAAATCGGGGGGGGGGGGATTTTGGGGGGATCACTCTGTTGAGGCGGAGAACACATGGAGAGCCCCAGATTCAGCTTTGGGTGTGACAACTCCGGTCTGAAGATCTGGAGAACTTTTGCAGCCCAAGGCTGGATCTCAGTGCCAAGCAGTTTAGGGAGAACTACATGGACTTTAGCTCCAGGGGAAGAGCCAGACTTTTGAAGGTCCAACCAGGGTGAAGCATGTGGCCTTCATTACAAGCCCACCTTCTTTCCAGAACTAGGGACCTCCTCCCGCTTTCATCTTGGAAATTAGCTGACCTAAAATGCCCAACTGGGTCATTGGAACCTGTTGTGTCCTGAGCCTGCAAAGGCAGGCTCGGGATTTTGCAGTGGTCCCGGGAAGTTGCAAGCTGCCTGGGACCAGACTGGCTGGCGCCGGCTTCGCACACCTAATTGTTACCATTTTGCCCAGGGATGTTGTTAAAAAGAGTCTGAGAGGCCTGTGAGCCTCAGAGCTGTGACGGAGTGAAAAAGACTTCAATAAAGAGCTGTTGGAACTACAGAATGTGCTGTATTCATTCGGCATTGATTCGAGGACTCAACAGAACCAGCTCAAAATTTTGAATCTTAGGATCATAGAGTCATAATAGCATAGAGTCATAGGGTCCTGGTGCTGGAAGGGACTTTGGTGGTCATCTAGTCCAACCCAAAGCAGGAGAACCCATTCCATCCTGGTCAAAGGGTTGTCCAGCTTGAAGATCTCCAGCAATGGAGCACTCATAACTCCTGGAGGTAACCCACTGACTAATTGTTCCCGTGTCCTGTTTAATGGGAATTAAATTCTACAGTCGATAGTTTCTATAATACTGGGAAGAACTATTTGGGAAGTTTGGGAAGGAAAAAGGAGCAAAGAGGAGGAAAAAAAGGAAGGGGACAACTGAGGCTCAATTCAACCATTTGTGCTTGGACGAGTTGACGAATTCCCATCTTGCCTTGTGATAATTTGATTCTTCCAGATCAGAAGCAAAGCAAAATGTGTAAGACTCAGCTGGAAAAATGTTGCGAATACATCATAAACATCTTTCACCAATATTCCATTCGAACGCCCCCTCCCGACATGCTCTCCAAAGGCGAGTTTGCCAAGATGGTGAAGGAGCAGCTTCCAAACGTCATTCGGGTGAGAAGAACCTTTTTGTTTCCTTTGATTTAAAAAATAAAATTGGCAAGGAAAGGGAAGGGAAGGGAGAAGGTAGAAATGGGGATCCACCATAAAGGAGCTTGAATTTCATGGAGAAAGTTGCCAAAACCTGAAGGCATCAACAGGAGCTTCAAGCTGAAGGGTGCTGTGGCGGCCTCTGGTGGCCGCTGAGAATAGTGCAGGCGGTCCCTTTCATGGCTTCCAAAACCAGAGGCAAAAAGGGCCAAAATGGGTAAAAAGTCAAGTAGACGTGCAAAACAAAACAAAACAAAACAAAACCAGATGTTGAGAAAATGAAATCTGGGGGTGCTTCAGCAACCAAGTGGGGTGATTGTCCAGCTTCCGGCCTTGGGTGGTGGTCCTGGAAAAAAAAAACCCGGAAAAATTGGGGAAAAAATAGGTTTCCCCCCTCCCCATTTTTTCTTCTTTTTTCTTTCCAAAGCCGTTTGGGGAAAAAAAAGAAAAAAACACCCTGTTTCTCCCCCATTTTTTTCAGCATTCAGCTCAATCTCCTCATCTCCCCAAACCACTCAGCCAGTCCTTACGGCCAAAATTTGGGATCAGAATTTCCACGGGTTAAGCCAGGCTGGCTGTTAAAATAAATCCTGCCTGATTTTATGACCCTTTTCAGCCAAGGTCGTTAAGTGAACCCCCTGGTCGTTAAACAAACCGGGTTTCCCTTGCCGGCTGCTTTTGGCTGGGAAGGTCGTAAGTACGGATCACGCGGCCCCAGGATGCAAATATATCCTGGTTGCCAAACACCTTAATTTTGATCACGTGACTTTGGAGGGGGGGAAATGAGACGAGGGTCATAAATCAGAGGCCTTTCTTTCCCCCCTGGCATCATTGTAACTTCAAACGGTCATTAAATGAATTGTTGTAAATTGAGGACCAGTCGCATCCCTTGGTCTTCCTTTTCCAGTGCTGTCTTAGCGATTTTCTCAGGGTTATGATCGGGCCCAAACTGTTAAAAATGTTGTTTTCTTTGGAATTTGCAGAACACTAAGAACCCCGAGGCCATGAACCGCTTTTTCAATGAGCTGGACCAGAATAAGGATGGGCAGGTATCCTTTGACGAGTTTGTGAATCTCGTCAGTAGACTGTTAACTTCCACCACAAGCACTGAGCCAGCGGTGTGAGGATCCGATGTCACCAGATTGCTTCTCCTCCCGGTCTAACCAGCGTCACCCCTTCGAGGCTTCTGGGCTCAGCCCTGGGGAGCCCAGAACAATAAAGAGTTTAATCTTCCCCAAAATGGTGCGGTTGTCATGTTCTGCAAGGTTTAATTTTGTGTGTGTGTGTGTGGGGGGGGAGGATCACGAAGGGCATAGAACAGTGGTTCTCAACCTGTGGGTCGGGACCCCATTTGAGGTCAAATGACCATTTCACGGGGGTCGGGAAACCACGCTGTCCGCCATTTTTTTCTCTTTTCCCTAGCTGTCCTACTCCCTGTTATTGGTGGCCACACCCACTTGGGGGTCACCACAACATGGGGAACTGTATTATGGGGTCACGGCATTAGAAAGGTTGAGAACCACTGGCGTAGAAGATCAGCCTGAAGGGTTGGTCAAGTGTGGCAACTTGAAGAGGGATGGACTTCAACTCCCAGAATTCCTCTTCCGACTCTGTTATTCGGCATTCCGAGCGGGGGGCTGGACTAGAAAACCTCCGAGGTCCCTCCTGAGTCTGTTATTCTTACAGAGGGTTGAACTAGAAGGTCTCCGGGGTCCCTTCCAGCTCTCTTACTCTGTATTCTCACATGGGGTTGGACTAGAAAACCTCCAACATCCCTTCCGACTCTATTATTCTGTATTCTGAGCAGGGGGTTGGACTAGAAGACCTCCAAGGTCCCTTCCAACGATTCTAAATTGTAGTTTATGGGGTCTGCTGCCCTCTTGTGGTTGAATAGAAACACATACACTAATTTGCAAAAAAAGGGAAGGGAAGGGAAGAAAGGAAGGGAGGGAGGGAGGAAGGAAAGAAAGAAGGAAGGAAGGAAGAGAGAAGGAAGGGAGAGAAGGAGGGAGGCAAGAAGGAAGGAATAGAGAAAAAGGGAGGGAGGGGGGGAGGTAAGAAGGAAGGAAGAAATAGAAAAGGAAGGAAGGGAGGGAAGAAGGGAGGAAGGAAGGAAGGAATAGAGAAAAAGGGAGGGAGGGAGGTAAGAAGGAAGGAAGGGAGGGAGGGAAGGAGGAAGGGAGGGAAGGAGGAAGGAAGGAATAGAGAAGGGGGGGAGGAAGGTAAGAAGGAAGGAAGAAATAGAAAAGGAAGGAAGGGAGGGAAGAAGGAAGGAAGGAATAGAGAAGGAAGGGAGGGAAGGAGGGAGGCAAGAAGGAAGGAATAGCAAAGAAAGGGAGGGAGGGACGGAGGGAGGGAGGGAGGGAGGAAGGCAGAAGAAAAGGAAGGAATAGAGAAGGAAGGAAGGGAGGCAAGAAGGGAGGAAAGAAGGAAGGAATGGGGAAGCTAGGTAGGTAGGAAGGAAGGAAGAAAAGGAAGTTGAGGATGAGGAGAGAAAGAAAACTCTATATTAATTTTAAATAAATATATGAAATCCAAATATTTTATGGGACCTCCAGCTTTAACAGCACCCCGTGTTTTTTTTAAATCAGTTAGATTTTAAATTATCTACCATCCCAGACCACACCAACTGAGTTAAAACACAAAGTCTCCAGCTCTGAGCTCACCCAAGCCTCTTTCAGGGCTATTTGGGGGCTCCTGGTTCTTTCTGGCTTATCTCCTGTTTGGTTTCCTTTTCTAGGCACCAGCCCGTTGTGTGAACGTGTCTCCTCTGCTTCATTCTTCTGGATTTCGGCTGTAGCGAGGCCACTGTGGGCGTGCAAAAGTTGCAACTGTGCGCAACAATCCAGCTCCCCGTCACACCCCCTTCTCCAAACCTTGCACAAGGCCTATAAGTCACGTCTGAATTGCTACAAAGGGGTCCTTTGTAGAACCCAGCCCTGGAATTACCCTAGTTGAAGCCAGGATCGTCTTTCTCCACACTGGAGGAGATTTCGACATGGCCTGGCTGATGTGACAGCTCGGGTTGCCTTCCTCCTCCTTCGTTTCAACAGGTTGCAATCTTCACCGTCAGCACCGGAGAGGCAGAACGCCACGTCGCTCCTCCAGAAGACACCTGCACAGGTAGGTGGAAAGCCCTCTGTCCCTTCCTTGCTATCTCGGTTGTTCTTCACCTGAGGAGCGCAGGAGAGGCTGAATCCCTTGATGGAGTTGTGATGTTCTCCATTCCAGACACTTTCTTTCTGCTTGCATTATCCAAACTAGCTCCTTGCCTGCCTTGAGGCACACAACCCGTGGGCAAAAACAAACAATAACATGGGTACTAATTTAAGGTACAAGGGCGAGCAACCAGGATCATGTCTGCTTGGTTGTGTTCCATGAGATATTTACTAAGATTTGAAGATAGATAGCTAGATAACTAGAGGAGAAGGAGGAGGAGGAGGAGGAAGAGAGAGAGAGAGAGAGAGAGAGAGAGAGAGAGAGAGAGAGAGAGAGAGAGAGAGAGAGAGAGAGAGAGAGAGAGAGAGAGAGAAAGAGAGAGAAGGAGAGATGTTTCAATTTAATAAGAGCTATCAAATAACAACATAGCTATTTAAGATACAAGGATGAGCAACCGAGATCACGTCTCTGTAGTTCCATTCCATGAGATATCTGATCGAAATCTGAAGGCTTTCCAGAGAGAGGCACAGAAAGGAGGAGGGATGTCCTGAATTAATAAAAAGTGTCCCCTCATCTTCAAGTCATCTGATTCCTTCCAATGTCTTTCTCAACCTTTGGGTTGATCTTTCTAGAATTTTTTCCCCCAGGTCTACCACTTGTTCTTTGAGAAGTGAAGGCCCATAAATGCATTTCAGGATAGGTCAGAATAGGCCCAGTCATCTGATTCCTGTAGAAATATCTGAGTGGTCTTCTTGAAGCTATTCAATCTTCACCTCTGGTTGGAAATTATAATAGAGTTTAGAATTCAGCTATCTGGAGAAGGTGAGGTCCTCCTCCTGGAGAATATCTTCATTGGAGGGAAGATCTCTCAGATTCTCGATGCCACCACTGGCAAAGTCCTCTCCACTGCCGTCATTTGCTACATCTTACTTGGGTGGGGGCCTCTGAAGACAAGATCCCCCAAAAGGAACTTTAGCGTCCAGATCGATAATCGTGACGATGTGATCCTTCCCTTAACCTGGTCTCAGTTCCTGAGATGGTTGAAGTTGGAAACCTAAATTAGTAATAGTAGTAAAGTTGGAAGGGACCTTGGAGGTCATCTAGTCCAACCCCCTGCTCAGACAGGAAACCCTACACCATTTCGGACAAATGGCTGTCCAGTCTCTTCTTAAAAACTTCCAGTGTTTAAGAAGAGACTGGACAGCCATTTGTCCGAAATGGTGTAGGGTTTCCTGCCTGAGCAGGGGGTTGGACTAGATGACCTCCAAGGTCCCTTCCAACTTTACCCTCCAATTATGGATCACCCTCCAATTATGGAGAGTGATCAGAGAACTTGACCAGGTGCCCATATAATGGACAAGGGTTGGCACAGCGTATTCCAGGGTCCCCATCTTGACAGATTTACAATAGGAGGAACAATGAGCAGGCCAGCTCTACTATTAGTCCAAAGGAGTTGTAGACTCAGGCAGAAAGCTTCAGGGGCTAGCGAGAAAGCTGGTGGTAGAACATCTGCTCCTAAGTCTTTTTCGACTTACATCTTAGGCTTAATTAACTATTTACCAAAAGGTGGTGTTCTATATATATGGAAGATAAGCAGGGATGTTGTTTTTGTGGTCGGGCAGCCCAAACTCTGTTGCTGGACTTGACCAGTTTTGATCCCAAAACAGCTTGTTTTTTTTCAGAGGATCTCAGAGCAACCAGCATCGGGAGAAGATGACCAAACTGAAGATTGGTTTCTTCATCTTATGCTCTCTGTCTCAAGGTAAGCCCCAAAGCTTGTTCAGGTAGGGTGAGGGGTGTATGATACAGTCCTCCATATAGTGTTGTTCACCAACCACATTGAGGAGGAAGTTCTATGGATCGTCTATCCACCCTGAGCAACGATCATGCGGTGTGTTACTCCTCCAAGACAAAGGTCTAAATCTGGTAAAAAAAAAAATCTGTCCTCTGCCTAAGTCAGTTTCCAAGCCATCTTGCTTCCAGAACTTGTAGGTGCTTCATCTCATTTTAAGAGAAAATTGGACAGCCATTTGCCTGGAATGGTCTAGGGCAGGGGTAGTCAACTTTGGCTTTTTTATGACTCGTGGACTTCAACTCCCAGCTGGCTCAGGAATTCTGGGAGTTGAAGTCCACGAGTCATAAAAGAGCCAACGTTGACTACCCCTGGTCTAGGGTCTCCTGCTTGGGGTTGGACTAGAAGACCTCCAAGGTCCCTTCCAGCTCTATCATTCCGTGATCCCAGATCAATTAATCGGTGGAACGGCTTCCCTCCAGAAGTTGTGGGTGCTCCATGACTGGAGGCTTTCAAGAAGAGACTGGACAGCCACCTGTCTGGGATGGTCTACTCTAGACACTCTCCTGATCAAACGGGGTTGGACTAGAAGACCTTCAAGGCCCCCTCCAACTCTGATGAACTTCTGTGTTCTATGTACAAATTCTTGGCATGAGTGAAAGTAGTCCAGAACGAAGGCTTGGATTGGCCCAAATCAGGTCAAGCTGATAGAAGGTCAAGATTGCACGTAGGGGGCGGTTCTAGGGGCTGCCCTTGAAGACTGACCTGGGGTCCTCTTTGGCCCCTGCAAGACTCCATTGCTTTCCTTTCTCCAGCCACAGGCTGTTTCCGACTCATCACCCCCTCGAAATGGGGAGCCAGGCCGGCCAATTGCTCCGCGCCGTTGAGGGACGTCCTGCCCGAGTACGTGGTCATCATCCACACAGCTGGCAACCCCTGCTGGACTCACACTGCCTGCTACAACGAAGTCAAGGGGATCCAGAACTACCACATGAACCTCAAAGGGTGGTGTGATGTAGCGTACAGGTGAGGGGGGGCGGGATGCTGGATTAAGTTCTGGATTAATGGCCTCCCCGATAAAGATTAAGACTCTCTGGACCTGGGGGGGAAACGCCTGGGGATTTCGTGGAAGTGCTTCCCTATGTGGTTGTTGTTGTTGTTGTTGTTGTTATTATTATTTTAAACAACGAGGCAGGTTGTTTTGCTCCAGTCTGGCCTAAAAACCTGATATTTTCTAGTCTTAAGTCTGGCTTAATGGTTTGAGATCCGCCATGTAACTGGATGGAAAAGACGTATCTGGTCCTAAGTGGCTTGTAAAATCTGACTGAAATCAGCCCTTTCCTTTCCTTTCCTTTCCTTTCCCTCTCTTTCTCCTCCATTCCCATTCTTCTTTTCCTCCCTCCCTTCTTTTTCTGCTCCCTCCGTTTCCTTCCTTCCTTCCTTCCTTCCTTCCTTCCTTCCTTCCTTCCTTCCTTCCTTCCTTCCTTCCTTCCTTCCTTCCTTCCTCCAGTTTCCTGATTGGTGAGGATGGTTACGTGTACGAAGGACGGGGCTGGCGCAACGAAGGATCCCACACCTATGGCTACAATGACCTGTCTCTGGGGATTGCTTTCATCGGCACTTTTGTGGGTAAGTTTGTCCACAACGTCAGAAAAATCCCAAGTTAGTCATTGCAGGGAATATATGGAGCCTCCATGCTTAGGGGCAGGCTACCATTAAAACTCAATGTGAAGCATCAAACAACACTAGAGGGAAAGCAATGGCCAGAGGGCCCGGGAGAGAAAGTTTCACGGGGGTTAAGAAAGTTGCAATTGAACAGGGAGATGTTTTACTCAGGTGCCAGACTCGTGGAGTAATCCTGGAGCCGTGGGTTGGTTCCCTCTTGCAGTCCAGCCCACCTCACAGGGTTGTTAGGAGGATTTTTAAGCCACGATAGCCGTAATATTTGGGCCTTGGAGTTTTTCCCCCCCCGGGGCCAAATTTGATCATGGGGGAAACTGCAAGCTAGGCCAGCTTTGCTGGTGGCAGAGCGTGCAAGCCATGGTTTGTTCGTGGCCAGCTCAGTTTCAGCTGATGTTATGCTTGGCCTGACAAGCCGAGGGTCATGCTGGGTGAGTCTGCCTCGGTCTTGCTCTGCCGGAATCTCCTTCCTCTCCTCCTGGAAGAACCAGGAAGCTTTTGAGAAGTTGAGCAACCTGCCAACCTCAATGGATCCTGACACCCGTGAGGTTAAGACGAGGATGCCAGCAAGCCACAACCTCAGCCAAGTTTCTGCAGGGCCCCACCCTTGGAGCTTGTGCTCTGCGTGGGATGCCTCAATAAAAATTGTGGAGGAGCAGGTCTTCCCCAGAGCAACTGCCTTGGAGAAGTCACAATGTTGTTCAGTAAACACTACAAGCGCACTGGTCTGGAGCTGGTTGCTACAAAACACTTCCACGGTACAGGTCCTCCTCCTCCTCCCCCCCTCCTCCTCCCTAGCTGGGTGATGTCTGCAAGAAAACCACCAAGCTCAGGGAGCACCAAGGATCCCCAGTTTCACAACCCACAACTCCAGAAATTGTGAATGCTGCAGTGCTGGAGATTTTAAAGAAGAGATTGGATAACCATTTGTCTGAAGAGGCATAAGGTCTCCTGCTTGAGCAGGGGGTTGGACTAGAAGACCTCCAAGGTCCCTTCCAACTATTCTATTCTATTCTATATTCTATATTCTATTCTATTCTACTCTACTCTATTCTCTACTCTATTCTATATTCTATTCTATTCTATTCTGTTCTGTTCTGTTCTCTATTCTGCTCTACTCTACTCTATTCTATATTCTATTCTGTTCTGTTCTATTCTCTATTCTATTCTATTCTATTCTATTCTGTTCTGTTCTGTTCTGTTCTGTTCTCTATTCTGCTCTGCTCTACTCTACTCTGTTCTGTTCTATTCTCTATTCTATTCTACTCTACTCTACTCTACTCTACTCTACTCTACTCTACTCTACTCTACTCTACTCTACTCTACTCTACTCTATTCTATTCTATTCTATTCTATTCTATTCTATATGCTATATGCTATATGCTATATGCTATCCTATGCTATGCTATGCTATGCTATCCTATCCTGATAAACACAAAGAGAATCACGCTTGAGCTCCACTCATATCTAGTCAGTTTATATTAAACTAGCATCCACACATCTATCCTTAGTCCTGGATGAGCCTGTCTTTGATTCCCTAAGAAATGTCGGTCTGTTCTCTTTCTTTTCTAGAACGATCCCCTCAAGATAATGCTTGGAAAGCTCTCAGATGCTTCCTTGATTTCTCGGTGAAAATCGGCTACCTGTCGCCCGAATATATATTGTTGGCCCACAGTGACGTCAGTGACATTGTGTCTCCTGGAGAATTTATCCGTGCCGAGATTGCCAAGTGGCCAAATTACAAGCATTCGCTGTATATTTTGAATCGTGGCAGACAATAAAATTCACCGATAACGAAAATAAACTGGTTTTCCTTCTTGATTAAAAAAAAAGAACTAATTTTTTTTCTTGTTAAAGAAAACGCACCGATTTTCAGCAGGCCAATGAAACTTGATGAGTTGAGTTGCAGAGTGGACCCTCCATCCGTACCATCCTGGTTAAATCTGACCCTTTCCCCAAATTAATCCATTTCTGCCCCACCAAATCTGCCCCATTCGATGGACCTTTGTGTTTTGTTTCGCTCCTCTTAAATTAGGTTGAATGTCATTTTTTTCCTCCCTGGTGTTTTTGTGAGTTTGGTCCTCTTAAATCAGGCCTCACCCTTCCTAGCCCAGCTGAGCCGAGGGTGGAAAGAGAATTGACTCATAAAGGTGACCTAGGAAAAATGGGAGGAGAATCCCAGCTCGTAAATAAAGATAATTGGAGATCTGCAAAGATTGGAGAATGTATTTGTTTATTTTTTGGGGTCTGTGGGATAAAGGTCTTGGTTTAAGAGGAGAAGAAAGAGACAAGGTTTATGCTGAAAAAAAAAAAGGCTGGTAAATTCACTGTCAGTAAATATCTCTTTGGTTCCAGGTTGCTTCTCTCTTTGGTTAGTTTCCATTGTTTGCTTCTTGTCCCGCCTTCTGGTGCTTTGGTGAATAGCGTGACCCCCCCCTTCTTCAGGGTAGCCCCTAATTGAAGTCAACTGAGAATTTTTAGTTTACGTTTGTTTTATTCTTTTGCAACTTTCGGCTGAGACTGAGGTTTGCTTTGCAATTCCTCCTGGCAGAGTTACATCAAACGGCGCCGTAAATAGAGCCAGGCCAGCCATGGAAAAGCAGGTTAGGTAACCATCATCCACCACCCACGTCTTCCAGACGCTGGGTTTAAGGAAGCTGCTTTTGGGGTTTGCAAAATTTTATTCCGCCTAGCCAAGTTGGAGCTTCTGCATCCTGCAACTCGGTAAGTCCCGGGCTGTGTGGGGCTTTGAATTAGGATTGAAATGGTGGGCTTGGGAGCAGAGGAAATGCCCCCAAATGCTTTTTTTTCCCAGACTACTGGACTTTCTTTATTTTTCTCTGAAGACATTTCGCTGCTCACCCAGGAAGCTTCTTCAGCTCTGACTGGATGGTGGGGAAAAGAAGGAACCATCCAGTCAGAACCAGTCAACTATTCTATTCTATTCTATTCTATTCTATTCTATTCTATTCTATTCTATTCTATTCTATTCCATTCCATTCCATTCCATTATTATTCTATTCTATATTCTATATTTTATATTCTATATTCTATATTCTATATTCTATTCTATTATTTCAATCCCATCTTTTCAGCCACCCCACTCACAAAGTTGTTGTTCAAACTCCAGATAACTAGATCAATGCTAGGTCTGAATGTGTAGCAACTTTTGAAAACATCCCATCTCTTCAAGTAGGTCACCCTTCCCAGAATTTAGAAAGAAGACAGGCTGGGCCAGCTTGGCTCACCTTAAGCCCAGATCCGTGATGTTCAACATGGAGAAGACCAGTTGAGCTTCTGGAAAAGCTGGCAGCTCCAGAGATGAGAAGGGGTTGTATTGTTCCTTCACATTGATCCACAAAGCTTAGGCACCACCCAAGGATGTATATAGGAGATGTTCAGACCACGCCATGAGTCAACTTTGGCTCCATTCTTCTTGTTGTCCACTTCTCTCTTTCTTTCCTCCTGCAGGGACAGGACCCAGTTTTGAAGGTGACACCTAGGGGGGTGAGGAAAAATAGAAGATCAGAAGACCCTGAGGTCTGATCTTCTAGAGAAGATTGCCTTGACTTCTAGTTCTTCTCCTTAGCCTCCATCCATCTTTTCTTCCTCACCAGAAGCCTGGACAGATCTTTCAAGATGTCCAGGCTGTTCCGAGCCTTCACCGAGATGATTGAGAGGCAGTCCAAGGTGGTCCCAAGCAAGTCCCCAGACGCCGAGCCATTGAAGAAGAGCGAGTTCAAAACCCTAATTCAGAAGGAGTTGACCATTAGCAAGGTAATCTGAATTTTTTTTTTTTGCAAGAGATGGTTTTTATAGAAGGTTGAAAAGGCAAAGGAGAAAAGAAGGTGGGTGGGAGGGAAGGAAGGAAGGAAGGAAGGAAGGAAGGAAGGAAGGAAGGAAGGAAGGAAGGAGGTGCCTGGATACTTGTTTACTTCCACTGTTGATTGCTACTTGATGGATTGATTATAGGCAATCAAATTGTTCATGAATATTTTTTTTTTTTTAAAAGATGTTATATTTGATGTAATTGTGGAATCTGGCCTGAAGTCTGACCTGGAAAAAAAAAGGGAATTTTTAATTCTTAAACTCATTTTCAGCTTTGATTGAATTCATGTGCCAAGAGGTACTAGAACATTTGATAGAGGAGAATACTTGTAGATTGGGGTTGAACCATGGGTGCTCTCTGAGCTTGGTTTTCCTGCAGACGTTTCATGACCCAACTAGGTAACATCATCAGTGTGATAAGGGAGTGGGGGATTATGGGGAGGGGGAGGGGGGAGAAGGAGGAGGGGGAGGAGGGGGAGGAAGAGGAAGAGGTGGGGGTAGAGGAGAACTGAGAGGTCCTTGGTGTTCTCTAAGCCTGAGTGGTTTTCTTGCAGACATTTCCTAACTCAACTAGGTGACATCATCAGTGCTAGAAGCCATGGTGTTTGCGCTGATGATGTCACCTAGCTGGGTCATGAAACATCTGCAAGAAAATCCCCCCCAGCTCAGAGATCACCATGGACTCCCCCCCAAGTAGGTCATTTATTGGCCTGGACCCACCTCTAGAAACCAGGCACGCAAGCCCATAATCTCCAGCCTTGCTCCTTGACAAAAATATGTTTAGGCTATCATTTGCAAACCAACTGACCCACCCCATTTTACGGCCTCGGGGTCGGTTCTTTTTACGCTTTCCAGAGGACACGCAAATACAAGAACATCAAAGTTCTCCACGACGACGCGGAGCTGATGAACGAGAAGATGCTGAGAGGGCAAGGACATTGAAGGAAATCCATTTGCAAGAATTTCTAACCCCTTTGGATTGCCACCATCCCCGCTTAAAAGGAGGGGAAGGATAAATTGGACCAGCATTCTGATTGCATTCCTTTCTTTTCACCTTTCTAAAGTGGTTTTCCAGTGCTTCAGGAGCTGCCATTCTGCAGTTACAAATACTGAGAATTGCATCATTTTTAAGGTGTCGCTCAAGAGCTTTGCTTTAGCCTGTTTGGAGCAACGGCAGAGCGATTAATGTAGTTTTTGTGGGTATTGGCCACAGGGTGGTGTTTGCTATCTGTTTCCTCCAAAATATACACATTCCCCAAGCAGCTAGTCCACATGGAGGAGGAGGAGCTGCCTCTTCAGCTTACTTGAAGTGATTTATTTGCTAAAGGAGGGATGGCCCGAGTGAAGAAAAACTGTGAAAGAAAGCAAAAATTTTCTAAAGCCATTTCCCCACCCCAAATATTATCTAAGGTGTAAAAACCCTGATCTGATATTTCAGCCTGTTTGCCTTCTACCTTTATTCCCTTGGTTTCATTTGCAAAGGCTGGAAAGTTTGCATTAATACGTACAATTATATTACATTTATGTGCAGCATACACACATTATATTTATATTCAAAGAATTTGTCCCAAATCTTCTTTCTTTGCCACACGGTTTTACCTCAACCCGTCTTCTACCAGCCATTAGCAAAACTGTGTCCGCGGATAACATATGCCTGATCCATCATTCAGAACTGTTTGGAAACTAAAATTAAATCTAATTTAAGAAGGGGAGGTTTTTTTTAAAACTCACAGTGACTGCGGATAAGCAGAAATAGCAAAATGGTAGCTTCTGGTTCAAATATATTTTTTGGTTTCTATTTTTTATTTTATTAAATAGCGTGCCTGGCTGAGGAATTCTGGGAGTTGAAGTCCGCAAGTCATAAAAGGGCCCAGTTTGAAGACCCCTGTCAAGGTCCCACCCAGAAGTTGTGAGACGTTCGAGCTCCAAATTTACGCAAGACATTCGTTAAGTGGGTTTTGCCCCCTTTTACGATCTTTCTTGACCCAGTTGTTAAGTGAATCCTTGCGGCTGTTAAGTTAGGCACACAGTGGTTATTGAATCTGGCTTCCTCACTGACTTTGTCAGAAGGTCGCAGAAGAGAATCACGTGACTCTGGGACATTGTGACGGTCATAAATATGAGTCAGTGGCCCAGTGTCTGAATTTTGATCACGGGATCACGGTATGGCAGCAACGACCATAAGTGTGAAACATGGTCATAATTCCCGTAGCAAATCGGGGAATTTTTATCAATGTATAAATATTTATAAATATTTCATAAATCAAGCCACCTAGAACTAAGGAGAAACCTTCTGACAGTTAGAACAATTAACCAGTGGAACTACCTGCCTCCAGAAGTGGTGAGTGCTCCAACACTGGAAGTTTTTAAGAAGAGACTGGATGGCCATTTGTCCGAAATGGTGTAGGGTTTCCTGCCTGAGCAGGGAGTTGGACTAGATGACCTCCAAGGTCCCTTCCGACTTTATTATTATTATTATTAACAACTTGCCTCCAGAAGTTGTGAATGCTCCAACACTGGAAGTTTTTAAGAAGAGACTGGACAGCCATTTGTCTGAAATGGTATAGGGTTTCCTGCCTGAGCAGGGAGCTGGACTAGATGACCTCCAAGCTCCCTTCCAACTTTATTATTATTATTATTATTATTATTATTATTATTATTATTATTATTATTATTATGGATCATCGCACAGTTAGCCAGATGTTCAGACTGTATTTGACATTTTGTCTACCTATCGAGTCCTTACCAGGACCTGGGATAGGCAGATGTGGATGTTTGATGGTATTACAGATCTCGTCGCAGGATGGAAGCAGTTCCTAGTAAGGCCGCCTTTTGCAATTGACTAATGCCGAATTTGTCAATGCCGATGATGGTGTTCAAGTGGTGCTCCAGTTGTTTTGGGATTGCACCCAAGGAGCCTATGACTATTGCTACTACCCTTGCTTGCTTTTGCCACAGTCTTTCTATTTCTATTTGTAGGTCTTTGTATTTTGTTATCTTCTCCAGTTCTTTCTCGTTGTTGTTGTTGTTGTTGTTATTATTATTATTATTATTATTATTATTATTATTATTATTATTATTATTATTATCATTATTATCTTATCTCTAATGACCTTGAGAAAGTCTTGGGGAAATGGGAAAGTGGGGTGTTGCTGTCTCAACTCTGGCCGGGAGTCAGATTTGATGTGTGCTTGTGTTCCTCTTCACACCCACGCCTAAAGGTCCCACAAGAAGGCAACTTTCAGGTGTCTGCTAATTCATGCATTTTAATACCATTTTGCCAAGGGACAAGCAGAGAGCAAGGTAAGGCACCATTTTGCCAAGGGACAAGCAGAGAGCAAGGTAAGGGGAAGAGAGGAGGAGGAGATGATTACATGATTAAGGATCACAAGACCGGTTCTTCTCGGAAGTTCTCCAGATGGTTTGGGGGCTGCAGTCTTCTCCAGGTCTTCCGTGGTTGGGTTTGGCCTCCGAGAAGTCAACAAACACAGCCGCCAGCGCAGAGTTGCGTGGATGGTCCTCTTTGAGCATCAATTCCCGGGTCTTGTTTTCTTGGTGGGCTTCCATGTTGGTTGAGGTCTGAAGCCAAGAGGTGGACTTTCTCCTTCCTGGTCTCCCTTCCTGGTTCTGACGTCGCCTTCAACGGCGTCTTAACAGCATTTGGGGTTTTGGTCCTGCTGCTTAGGGCAACATTGCTTGGGAGGGGGGCAGTACTGCTGAGGTGGGGGGCAGCACTGCTGGGGTGGGGAGCAGCACTTCTGGGGAGGGGGGCAGCACTTCTGGGGAGGGGGGCAGCACTCCTGAGGTGGGGGGATGGTCTTCTTGCACTGGGGAGGAATGGGACAAGGTTGCTTGCACTGCTGACTCTGGAAGGACATTCTGGTGGCTTTCAAGAAACCTGGAAAAGGGACGAAAAAGAAAAACGGTCTGGTTGTTTTCCATCGTCAGAAAGTTTTATTCAAGTCATCTGCTCCTCTCTGGCCTGCTTTCCTGCTTCCCTCGGTGGTAGACTGCTCCTGAACCTGGAGGATCCGCTCTCCCTCACCTCACTGATGGAGATGACATTTAGCCAAATCAGACGAGAGAGCTTGACTTGCCCCCCCCAAAAGCCAAGTTTCCATCCCTTTTTTTTAAAATTGTAAATTCAAGGAGAAGAGACATGGCCACCTTTTGCTGGCCGGGGAATTCTGGGAGTTGAAGTTCCTGCCTGAGCAGGGGGTTGGACTAGATGACCTCCAAGGTCCCTTCCATCATCATCATCATCATCATCATTATTACTACTACTATTACTACTATATATTAAAGTGACTGAATCGGATGCGTAGAAGATAGAAAGGAAGAGACCAGCGGGCATTCCCGCATTGCAAATATTAAAATTATTTCATCGGATAATTTTTAATCTCCTCCCTGGATTGGTCAGTCCACTGCTGGATTCCTTGGGAAAAAAACACACCCCAACTATTGAATTTCCAACTTCCAGAATTACAAGCAGCTAAACTGGATTTGAAAAGATCTCAGCCAGGAAGCTAAAGTGGATTTATTTAGTTTTCATTGCTTTTTCAGCAGATCGATGGGGCTCAATCAACCCGAGGCAAATCTAACACGCCAGTGAGTTCCCTAACCAAACGAAGGCTAATTAATTATATTTATTACTATAATTCAAGTTAGGCCAATCACCAACTCTTAAATTCATAAAATTAAATAATCTATTCCCAAGCAGGGTGATTTTTGCCTAATTAACCGGAATTGCCATTATTAATCAAACCAACCTAAATCGCCCTTGTTAATTCTAGTCATCCTCAGTTCATAAGGCAATCCTCCCTAAACAGCCTCAATAAATTAAACTATTTCCTCATTGTGGTTTCTCCACGTGTGTAAATCTAGAGAGAAAATTAATAACTGCTAAAGCAGTGGTTCTCAACCTTTTTAATGCCGCGACCCCCCAAATGATCGTAAGTCGAGGACTACTCAACCGGTCGTAAGTCGAGGACTACTCAACTGGTGCAGCACCGTTTGCAGAATGGGACTTTTGGTGGGCTCAGCAGGGCAGAGACAGCCTGGACAATTCCTATTGGCTTTTGAAAGCCAATAGAATTAGACTCTATTCAAGAGAGTCTGTTCTATTGGCTTTCAAAAGCCAATAGAATAAAAGGGAGTAGCACAGCTAAGGAGAAGGGGGGAAAAATGGTGGACTGCGTTGTTTGGCGACCCCCATGAAATGGTCGTTCGACTCCAAATGGGGTCCCGACCCACAGGTTGAGAACCACTGCGCTAAAGACTAAAAAACACCCATTCAATTCAAGCATCCTCCAATAACCCAATTCTTTTTAAAACTGAAATGAATCTGAATTTAAATTGAGGCTTGAGTTTAAATCTTCAGCCTTTGAGGTGCATCAAAGCACCTGCTAAAGATTAAAACAGCCGCATTCAATTCAAGCATCCTTCAATAATTCTTCTTCCTCCACGGTTGCAACCTTCATCTGAGTTCAATCTGAAATAAGTATGAATTTAAATGTAGGCTTCAGTTTAAATCTTCAGCTTTAAAGGTGCATCGAAGCACCGGCTAAAGATTAAAACAGCCGCATTCAATTCAAGCACCCATCAATAACTCAATTTTCTTTAAAAAACAAAAAAACAAACAAAACAAAACTGGGTGTCTTTCTTCCACCAAGATTGCAACCTTCCTCCGAGTTCGAACTGAAATAAACCTTAATTTAAACTTGCCGGCCCATCGATGCTTGGGCTGCGGAAGCAACCCAAAACTAGGAGAAACAACTCAAAGTACTCACTGACTTGGAGATACGATCTGAGTTCCTCAGTAGCTCGGAGAGCGAAGTGAATTGAGGAAGCAGGAGTTCTGGGAGAATTTATAAAGTGGCTGCTGAATATTCCGTTTGCCTCAAGTTCCTCCTTATTAGATGCCAGGGGGAAGAGAAGAAACCCTGGAACCACCCTCTCTGAATGAGAAACTATCCCTTTTGCAATGCTAAACCTGTTTATGTGGCCGTTCTGGCATTTACTCAGAACCGCCTGGCTGCACCATCATTGGGAAAGGGGTTAATTATTTGCTGCTCATCCCGAGATAATGGCCTTGTTTCCTTATCAGATCTGGGTTAGTTCCCTTCTCTGGAGGAGGAATGACATTTCTGGACGGAAAGAGGAAAAGAGAGTGGGAATAAGAAGAATGCAGGGAGTCCTCGAACTTACGGCCGGCGGCTTAGTGAGGGTTTGAAGTTACCGTAGGCCGCTGGGCTCCCCCAATAAATCGGCTTAATTGGAGAGCTTGCTAGGGGCCAGGCCAACTTCCGGCTGCTGTTGTCTCTGCTCATCGGAAGCCTGGTTGAGAAGGATGCAAATGGTGACCACAGGATGCTGAGGCAGCCATAAGTGGGAGGACCAGTTATAAAGTAGCATCTGTTGGGTACAAAGAATCAGGACCATATGCCAAGTTGCAGGTTGAGATGTATTGCCTATACACAAGGATCTAAACCGGCACCAGATAAGGGTCAAAGGGAATTCAAGAGGGTTGACCTGGAACATTTGTGGCAATGTAAGGATTCTGAGCCGATGACCTGCTTAACTCCACCCACACCCAGCTCTGCTTGCTCTTCTCCTACAGCATTGTAACTTCAAACAGCCACTAAACAGGGGTTGTTCAGCAAACCCTTTATATATACTGTATATATACACACACACACTAACAGCTCAGATGGTCTTCAATCCTTAGCAGAAATGGGCTATGATGTTCTCTCTCTCTCTCTCTCTCTCTCTCTCTCTCTCTCTCTCTCTCACATGCACACACATACGCATACATTGTCTATCTATTGTTATCACTCTCTCTATCGTTATCTCTTTCTCTCTGTCATCTATATATCTAGCCTCTCTACAAATATATATGTGTATCTCTCTCTCTCTCTCTCTCACTTATCTGTCTGATAGATCTATCAATCTAGCTTCTATAAATATATATCTCTCATTGTCTATCATCATCTCTCTTTCTTATTGTTATCTCTCTCTGTCTGCCTTTCTGTCTGTCTATCTATCTATCTATCTATCTATCTATCTATCTATCTATCTATCTATCTATCTATCTATCTATCTATCTATCCCCCCCTTAATAATGAAATAGCTACTTCGCACCCAGAATATTACTCATTTCAAGCGTGTTTCTCGCCCCATTCCCAGGACGAGTCCTTCCCCAGGGGATCCTAAGATTATTGCTTGGGTGTTTCATAACAAAGATTGAGGTCAAACGTGCAAAACCAGCAGGCAGATGGACTCTCCAGATTACCTTTACAAACAATAAAATCATGGTAGGAAATGGGATGTAAATATAGAAATTGCCAGCCAGGCAGATTCCTGCCATTGTCAATCGCGACGGTCAGGTGAGGGTGAGGTAATCTTGTTCAACGTCTCCCAAGACGGCTAAATCGCTTACCACATCGGGATGGCAATGACAGCATCCCATTATTAGCCTTATTAATAATATTAATGTGGCTCATTGTTTTTGACAACTGTTCTAATGTTGTGCTTTGGTATCCGACCACACCCAAAAAAGGAACTCGGAATCTGGGCATGATGAGGCTGCGACAAAATCACTTAAAGAAAAATAGGAATTAAATGCTTTCTAATACTTTGTTTTATAGAGATAAAGTCGTCCTCACTTAGTGACTTCAAGTGGGACAGGCAACTCCATTGCTACGTGCTGTGGTTACTAAGCAAAACATCGTGGCTGTGATGGACTGACCATTTTGTTTCTTCTTTGGTTGCTAAGTGAAGCCTGCGGTCGCTAAACAAAACAGCCTGTGACAGTGACAGGTTTATGACTTCACTTTGCCTTTGGTTGCTAAATGAAGCACTGCGGTCATTAAGCAAGACATCATCACATGATTGCAAGAGAAGATTTTACTACTGCCTTCCCTGTTAATCTTTGTTGTAACAAGCTGGTTGTGAAACACACAAGCGGTGATCACATAAGTACAGGACGCTGTGATGGTTGAAAACACACACTGGTTGCAAAGCTCCTGACTGTTGATTGTGTGATTGCAGGTCCTTGTGATGGCCGTAAGGGCACACCCGTTGTGATATGCCTGAATGGCGATGAACATGACAGTAGGATGCGATGAGGTTCATAAACAGGAAGATTCGCCACAGAGCTATTTCCCCCCAATTGTTATAACTTCAAACAGTCATTAAACGAGGCAATCAGTAAACGAGGACCTATTTCTCGCTTGTCAACCATGCATTAGGCATTATTGTTCCAATAAGCTCTTAACGTTTTGCTTTCAAGTTCATCTGGGAGGCATCAACCTCTCAAAAAGGGGTTTTTGACCACGGTCAGCCCACCTTACTGAGACAAAACAAACCGCGGTTTGTTTGTGACCGCTAGAATCAGAATCAGCCTTTTCCGCCCGTTTGATTGCAAAGATGTCAAACTTGCTGTGTGTTCCTTTTTTTTTTTTTTGCATCAGCGGGGTGAAAAAGTCAGATGTCACGGGAGATTAACAGCCCGGGATGTGACGAGGCAGAATTGTCTGTCACAGCTGTGATTTGTCGGCGTTTTATTAGTGGATTAATTGCTTTAAGTAGCATATCAAGGGCCTGGCCGGTTGCGAGGGCAGGAAATCAGAAGTGATGCGTGTCTCCTTCATCGTCTGTCGTTTCTGAAACGCCTGGGGCTCCCGTCCTCTCCTTCCTTCCACACCTGTTTCGTTCCACCCTTTTGGGGAAACAGCTCCCAATTTGCACTTGTTAAAGGAGGAGTGGGGGGGGGTGACCTCATGGCCTGGCGCTGCCCCGGCTGGTCCGGTCGGGCCGCCTGAGATAGGAGGGATTCCTGTGAGCCTCCCGTCATTAAGCAGGACGGGGTGACGAGGAAGAGCAGGTGCCTGGCAGGTTTCCTTCCTTCCTTCCTTCCTTCCTTCCTTCCTTCCTTCCTTCCTTCCTTCCTTCCTTCCTTCCTTCCTTCCATCCTATTTGTTGTTTCCTTTTTTCTCTCTTCTGTTCTTTCTTTCCTTCCTTTCTCATCTTCTTCCTCTCTTCCTTTATTCCATCCTCACCCTCGTTCTCCCCCTCCTTCCCTCCCTTCCTTATTCTATTCCTCCTTTCCATCTGTTTTCTCTCTTCCTTCTGTTCTCATTCTATTCCTTCTTTCCTTCTTCATCCACTTTCTCTCTCCCTTCCTACTGTTCTCATTCTATTCCTTCCTTCCTTCCTTCCTTCCTCCCTCCCTCCCTCCTTCCCTCCCCCTAAAGCAACCACTTTAAAGCATCTCGCTGTACAGCATCTAACACTTGCCCAGCCATGGCTGCTGTAAAACCCATAATGCACAGCCCCTGACTATGCTTCAATCCATAGATCAACGCAACCTTTCACCAGCATCTCCGTTTTTAAGCCAAAGATCTGAAACAAAACATCAGGATAAATTGTGACATTCTCCCCCCCCCCTTCCAAACCGGGATTGTCACAGGTCAGACGAGGCGCAGTTCCTCCCTGTGAAATGCCAATAATATTCATTTATTTCGGCCTCTCCAGACTGCCCTGGAGCACAAAGCTACGAGAATAATGTCTCACCTCGCACAGCAGCCTAAATTAAAAAATAACTCATTTTCATTGGAGAGACACTTCGAGCAATTTTCACTCCTGATTTTTTTATAGGGGCCAAAATAATCATCCCAGCTAATTTCCCACCCCCAGGGAATGGATGTCGTCGCACGAAAATTCCCGCCATCTCCCGTCCAGGCGTTCTTCAAAAAAATTCTGGTTAATAAGATTTTTTCTATGCTCTTTTCAGCAGATGCTTCCCTCCCTCGACACGACATGGAAGAATACCGTCAGTCCTCAACTTACGACAACAATCAGGATCAGAATTCCCATCGCTAAGCCAGGGGCCCCTGCTGCCTAAATTTTGATCTCATGACCGATGCTGCCATGATTGTAAGGGTGAGGACCTGTCATCAATCACTTTTTTCAGAACATCAAATGGTCACTAAACGAATATTTAAGTCAGCGACTCCCTGTGGAGATGGGAGGCTTAAAATCCAGGCTCGCGAGTTCGAATCTGAGCCGTTCTTTTCTCCAGGACTCTCCTTCTGTTCTTATTGGACAGATGGACAAAGCTGGCTCTGATTTACACACTGGTTCACTTACAACTGAGTGTAAATCTGATCTTTGACACCTCCGTCCTCGCTTACACATTGGTTCATTTACAACTGAGTGTAAATCTGAACTTTGACACCTCCGTCCTCATTTTGACACCTCTGTCCTTGCTTACACATTGGTTTGTTTGCAACTGAGTGTAAATCTGAACTTTGACACCTCCGTCCTCCTTTATACATTGATTTGTTTACAACTGAGTGTAAATTTGACCTTAGATCCCCTCCATCCTCGTTTTGACACCTCCATCCTCATTTATACATTGGTTCATTTACAACTGAATGTAAATCTGAACTTTAATATCTCCATCCTTGGTTACACATTGGTTCACTTACAGCTGAGTGTAAATCTAAACGTTGACACCTCCATCCTCGCCTACACACTGGTTTGTTTACAACTGAGTGTAAATCTGACCGCTTGCTAAATGAACGGCCGTAAGTCGGGGACTCCCTGTAGAGATGGGAGGCTTAAAATTCACGAGTTCGAATCCGGGCCGTTCTTTGCTTCTTTTTTCCACGGCTCTCCTTCTGTTCTTATTGTACAGATGGACAAAGCTGGCTCTGATTTACACACTGGTTCACTTACAACTGAGTGTAAATCTGAATGTTGACATCTCCCCCCATTCTCGTTCTCACCCGCACCGCGCTCTTCTTCGAGAGACAGCAGGAAATAACCCCTCCCTTGGTTCAACTCTGGGAAATTGTGGGGTGGATTTTGCCTGGCAAGAGCCCAGCCAGATGATTTAGCTGCTTCCTCGTGAGTAAGCCTGCCGACTCAGATTCAAAAGTAACTCAGCGGATGATTGATTGCAACTCCGTTGTAA